TTACTAAGTGGGCAGTAACGGGCAGCAAATCTGCTGAGTTGGGTGCATTAAACCTGTAACTCTTAAAATAAGCTGCAGATCCATGAGAAGTTTTTTAAAAAAACATCACAAACCAATAAAAATTGGCCCTAAAAATGCCAAGAGTCTTGGCATTTTCTTAAATTTTTTTTCAGGAAGGATTCCCTAAAAATGACTAATGGCAGAGGAGTTGAAGCAGGAATTAATTTTCTTCTTTCATCTAAGGGTGGTGGTTGTCGGGGAGAACAGTCCTGGTTGCAGGAAGTGAGATTTAGATTGACGTTTGGGTAGTTCCTACTCTTGTTTTATCTGAATTCATTTTTAAATTATTTCCAGGGAAAAAAAGTGTGTGCCATGTCCAAGATAATATGGAAGTTGACAACAGTAATTGTCGTTTAAAACTTTTCTTTCCTAAGTTACTTCTTATTTTAAATTTGCGCTTTCTGCCTATAAGAAAGTTCTATATGTAGAATAATCTATTAGGGTGGGTATATCATAAATGACATCATAAAAATTGCTGTTCATTTAAGAAATACGGTAAGTCTTGACGTGATGTCATCCATATGTTCTTGGAAACTGACTTTAAGCAAAATGACATATGTATATGTAACAAAACCATTTTTTTCTCATCAATATTATAACAAAACTATGCTGAATAAAATGATGTTATTCAATGAACTGCTGAATGTTTGTTTTGCTTGAAGTCATGGTTTCCAAGAACCTGTTGACGATGTTAAGTGAGGACATACTGTACCAAATTTTGAGAAATAAATGTAACAAATGTAGGAGTGTGCTGGATTTATTCCTTCTCCTCCCAAATACCGACTTGTTTTCTCTTTATGGCAAAAGTTGTTTAAAAGTGAGACTGGGTTCTGAATGCAACGAAAGGTGAGAGGGTGATAGAGCAAACTAGTAAGCTTAACATTAGCTCATATATATTAAGAACATGCTACATTTAATCTTGACAACCCTGTGATGTTCTCTGCCATCCTGATGGGATAAAATGAGACTTAAAGAGACAAAGTGGCTTGCCAGTGAGTGGAAAAGAAGGGATTAAATCCAACTCCCATTCACTCTGGTGCTCAAGTGCAAAAGAGAAGCATGCTGAGCCTCAGGTCCTCGTTGGAGTCACGATGGTACAGAGACCTTTCCCAGCTTTTTCTGTTTAGGAATTAAATTTTGGCACGTTTTCCATGAGTGTTCAACCATTTACAGTGGGATTCACAGTGAATGGTCATATGATTCATTCATTTCAACAAGCAGTTGCTTGAAAACATTTTCTGCTGAATATTCTCCTTTGAACCTTCTAGAATTTCTGTCCTCTTCTAGAAATTCTGCTCTGGCCCCAGAATGGGAGGTGACCTTTTTGGACTGCACTAACAATCTGGCTTTATTTATGTTCCATCAGCAGAGGGGACCAGCAGGAGACATAGGGGCAGGAGGAGAGTGAAGTAAGATTATTCCTTCACAATGGAAGGACAGGGGTCTTCAAACTATGTAGCCCAGAGGCCCTATCTGACCGGCAGCCTACTTTTGTAAATTAGGTTTCATTGAAACACAGCCACACACATCCATTTAAGTATAGCCTATAAATACCTTTACACTCCAGCCAGCAGAATTGAGTAACCATGACATGACAGATACGATATGATGCGAGAAGCCTAAAGTATTTACTTTCTGGCTCTTTACAGAGAAAAATTTTTTGACCCCTGCCTTAGGTAGGTCCCTTTTCAGGTAAGATTAATCTGTTTTTGGTTTTGTTTTTTGAGATGGATTTTCACTCTTGTCGCCCAGGCTGAAGTACAGTGGTGTGATCTCGGCTCACTGTAACCTCTTCCTCCTAGGTTCAAGAAATTCTCCTACCTCAGCCTCCCAAGTAGCTGGGATTACAGGCACATGCCACCATGCATGGCTAATTTTTGTAGTTTTAGTGGAGACAGGGTTTCACTATGTTGGCCAGGCTGGTCTCAAACTCCTGACCTCAAGTGATCCACTCATCTTGGCCTCCCAAAGTGCTGGGATCACAGGCATGAGCCAATGCTCCCGGCCAGCAGGACTGATCTTTAGGCAGCTTTATTCCCGCCAGAAACCACTATTGTTGATTGAATGGCACTCCCTACAGCTGCGGCTACACTACAGGTAGAACTATTTCTGCATTCTGGTAACTGTTTCTTTCCCTGGCCCTGTTTAAGCCTGTGAGTGATTGTCACTGTTGCTAGTCCCAGGGTGTGTCATTCATCATATGCGGCCACTTTCCTTTATCCCTGCATATATTCAGTCCTTTTATGTCTCCTAATTTACCAGCTGGATTGTGCCACATATTTTCTGTTGAGACCCTGCCTGAACTATTATATGCATAGCATTGTACTAGAAGCAATGATAAAGAAAAGAGCAAGTCGAAGTACATAGTCTTATTTTATGGTGGTGATGACAGGTGAGCTGAGCAATGTGGATAAGATAAGTACAAATAACTATAATAAAAGGGAGACTGTGATAAGTATAATAAGAGAGGCCAATATACAAGGGAGAAGGGGAGAAATCACATCTGGTTGAAATATTCTGGAAAGTTTTCATTATTGGAGTGGCATTTGAGCGGAATCCCAAAGGATTGGTTAGTTTTTGAAAGGTGAATATTTTTGCAGATTAGAATTACAGATAAGTGTACAACATGAAATGTTTGGAGGAAAATAAATAATGATTTCCAGTTTCTTCAGCTAGACGCTTGCAGAGCACTTTGGCCATTATCTCATTTTGTTCTCATGACTTCATGAAGTCGTTGCTACTATTATCCCATTAACAGATAATGGAACACAGGCTTTTTTTGAAAACTAAGTAACTTGCCCATGATTGACAACTTGAAGGATAAAAGTAAGGATTCTTACATTCTTACCCAGACACTTAATCCTTAGGAAGATAGCAAGGTATAATTGTGTCTCAGTGGTGGTTTCAGGCCAGTTCTGCTGCAGAAATTAAGCCAAGCTGGCTGGTTTTGGCCATACCTGAAACAAGTAACATTGTGTGAAGAACTTTATGCTGATGTTCTAAAAGTAGTAGGTAGTTTCTGAGACTTTTTGCTTAGGGCAATGAGACAATTAGAGTTTTATGCTTTATATATATATATATATATATATATATATATATATATGGTTTAGGTTGTATATAAAAAGGGTTTGAAGTAGGGTGATAGTAGTGGTTTTTTTGTTTTTTTTTGTTTTGTTTTGTTTTGTTTTCTGGAGTCTTGCTCTATTAGGCTAAAATGCAATGGCACCATCTTGGCTCACTGCAATCTCTGCCTCTTGGGTTCAAGCCATTCTCTTGCCTCTGCCTCCTGAGTAGCTGGTATTACAGGCGCCCAGCTAATTTTTGTATTTTTAGTAGAGACAGGGTTTCACCATGTTAGTCAGGCTGGTCTCGAACTCCTGACCTCAGGTGGTCCACCCACCTTGGCCTCTCAAAGTGCTGGGATTATAGCCATGAGCTACCATGCCCAGCAGTAGTTGGGTTTTAAAGGAAAGCGTCAACACCAAGGATAAGGCTGAGGGGCTAGGGGAAGAATGAAGTGACCTTGGCTTTTCAAGTCTGGACAGGTGGTGACTAGGAAGGCAGTGGTATTAATAACAGAGCTAGTGAACACAGAAGGGAAGGCTTTATTTTATTTTATTTTTCGAGACAGAGTCTTACTCTGTCACCGTGGCATGATCAGGACTCACTGCAGCCTTGACTTCCCCTGGCTCAAGTGATCCTCCTGCCTCAGCCTCCTGAGTAGTTGGGACCACAGGCATGTGTCACCACACCTAGGTGATTTTTTTTTGTTTTTTGTTTTTTTTTATTTTTTATAGAGATAGGTCTTGCTACATTGCCCAGGTTGGTCTTAAACTCCTGGGCTCAAGTGATCCTCCAGCCTCAGTCTCTCAAAGTGCTGAGATTACAGATGTGAACTACTATACCCAGCCTTCGGAAGACTTTCCAAGAATGATAAGGGATTCGATTTTGGAAATGTAAAGCTAAGACACAGAGGAAAATTCCAACTCTACTTACAGAAAAAATTCTAATTTGGAGCTGGGCATAGTGGCTAACACCTGTAATCCCAGTGCTTTGGGAGGATGAGGTGGGAGGATAGCTTGAGACCAGGAGTTCCAGACCAGTGGCCTGGTCAACATAGAGAGACCCCGTCGCTACCAAAACTAAATAAATAAATACTAATTTTCCCTGCAATTGGAGATATGAGTGGAGTCTCAAGAACGTTCTGGCTATAGATTGTTGACATAAGAGTTCAGTAGCTAAATACATCTATGGTAGGCATAAGAAGAGTAAGTGGTGGAGAAAGTTGTAAAAACAGGAGGGAAGATTAACCTCTGACCATTGGGGGATCACAACTGGGCTTCAGACGATTCTTCAGTTCCTGGTGCTGGAGCTAATGTCTGTAAACACATTTCCCCCCTCCCTCCAGGCCTCCTCCGTAGTTAGGACCTTTCGAGAACATTGGACATTGCCACAAGCACATAAACACCTCAGATTTAATTTCTCAGATTCTCCGCTGGCTGGCTCCTGAAACCGCTGTAAGAACCGTCACCTGGGTTCATAGGCTTGTGACAAGGCGGGGAAATGCTTTGAAAAGTGCCTACCCCTGAACTAAGGTGAGGTACAGGTACCGGCGCTCGCAACTTTTCTCCAGGAGGTGTGCCCATCTGTGCAGCGCGTAGAGCCCAGACTGTTTTCGTTTTTCTCCGTCCCGGCCCGCCTTCTGCCACGGACAGTTACAAACCTGGTCGATGATTATCCTGGGAGGACGCGACGTCCCAGCTAAGAACTCAGGTCAGAGATCCGAGAGGCAGAAGGATCTCGGGGAGGAGCAGGGGCCGGGCCCGACCTAAGAGCTGGCCGCGCCGCCGATTGGCGGAGAAGAAGGTTGTTCCCCCAGGGCGGCCGCTGATTGGCTGCGGGAGGCAGAGGCGTGACGTCTTCAGAAGTTGAGCAAACACCTCCTACTTCCCGGGCTCCCATCCCAATTTCGGCTGGGAATTCGGAGCCTGCCCTGCAGCGGCTCGGAAGATCCGAGGCGGGGGGAGACCAGTCGGCGCCCCAGAGCGGACGAGGTGAGGAGGGGTCCCCGCGGAGGCTGAGCTGCAGCGCGGGTGGGCTCAGCCTGTGAGATGCGCTGGAGATCGCGGCCAGTCTCGCTGGGAAGGGCCCGCGAGCTCGGCCCTCCGTCCCGGCGCCGCGAGGCTTCCCAGCAGGCTGGCGGGGCAGAGAGACGGAGGAGGCGGCGAGCTTTCGGGCCTCGCTGCAAGAAAGGGAGGGAGAGCGGAAACGCCGAGCGTTTAACTGAGGGGAAGGGAGGGAGAGCTGTCAGCTCAGCTCCAGCGTTTCCAAGCAGAAAGGCAAGGGATTGCAAATCGGATTGCTTTTCTTTCTTTTTTTTTGGGGGGGGCGGGTAGTGGCGGTGCAATGGCTGGGGAATAAAGGACTGGGGAAGCGGCGGAGAGACTGCCTTGTTCGTCGTTGGACCGCGTGCTTAGCGGGGATAGCTGGCTGCGGAGGCGGTGGATGGATGGGGATTTCAGGGTGGTTCTTTCCCCTTTCCCTCCCAGGGCCCGGGGGAGCCAAACTCTGATTACAAACTTCTCTCCTTGTCCATCTGGGCTGCGCAGTGTCCGAGACACAGACCCGCCTAGCTAGCTGCTGTGCGCTGTCCATTCTGCAGCAAGGATCGCAGAGGGGTGGACGCTGGGCGCCTTGCCTGTCTGGGTTTCCCGAGCTCCTGAGCCCTGCGGGGCCGTGCGGGCCTTAGTGAGCACTCACGCTGGAGGGGGCGCCGGGAGGAGCAGTTTACTCACCCTGCTCTCTTGAATGGGGCTGGACGTCTGTCCTGACCGCTTCAGAAGAACAAATGCGCTTTCCAGACACCGATTTCAGGGGATTGGGGGTTGAGAGGAGCGGGAGAGAGAAAGCGCGCGCACTAGAGAGAGAATGAATTAGTTCAGTAACTTGAACAAGGATTAACATTTTTTGGTGTTGTGGGTCATCAGTGGAGAAGGTCCAGCTGTGAGATGTAGTTATACACAGTACTGAATGGTCATTGACTGAAGCTGTGGCTTTCCAATAATTTATTTTAAAAAACCCAAAACACTGATAGCACTTTGGTGTTTCTGGGTTTGTGTATTTTGTCCCTTGCATTCCCCTCTTCTTTTTTTCCCACGAAGATGAGTGAATCTAGGGCTACATGATTTGACTGTGTAACCTGGTGGCCATTCTGCAAAATGAGTTAGGTGGACAAAAATTGAAGCCAATTTACCAGAGTCATTTTCCTACTTTCCAGATAATCATGTTTGTTATCAGTCTCACATGCTATTGATGATGGCATGATCAGAACTTTGATTTATTTGTAATTGATTTTTTTTTCTCACTAGTCCTTTAACAGACCTTGGCTCAGAATTTTGGAAATGATCTTTGGTGTGTAAAAAGTCCCCATTTAACAAAACGTTTCATGTTTTTCATATATTCTTTTATTAATTTTTTCATAGAAATAACATTACAAATGGTGGTAAATTTTCTAGGTAAGGCCACAAAAGAGTCTATGTAATTCATGAAATCATGGAAACAAATATTTGGAATGAGAAATAATCCCAAAACATTATTACCACGTTCATCTGATTTAAGGTGCCATCAATTGTAAGATGCATCCCTATTTCACAGATGCTAAAATCTGAAAGAAAAAAAAAAGTCTTCAATTTGATGAAATACAACATTAAAATGGTAATTTATTCATTTTGAACATCCATGCCTAAAGTCTGAATTTGAAGAAAGGGTTTATTGGGCTCTATTTTTTTTTTCTAGAATAATATAACGGTGGGCGGATTAATATGGAGCCATGGTGAAGGCCTTACTATGGTGTGACAGAGGAAAGAAATGTGTGTCTGCTGTTAGTGGTGTGGTTGTGCTCACTTTTGAGGAGTAGGCAAGCTTGGGGGCTTTTCTTTTCCTTAATATTTATTGTTTATGACACACAAGCAATGCTCAGCACTTTATGCATATTAGCTCAATTAAATATCACAAGGGCCCTAAGAGGTAGAGGTTAATATGACTCATTTTGCAGTTGATACACTGACAGTTTAAGTTACCAACCAAGGTCACAGAGTAAGTTTGTCCGCAGAGGAACCCAGGAGAGAAATCAGTATTCCTTTGACATATCTATCTTCTGTTGCAAGCTCTTGGCTTCTGGTTCATGATGTTAATACAGATAACTTAGGTGAACGCCCATTCTTTCTTGATTGTGTTTTTGGTATTTTGTTTCCCTGTTTGGTGTACATTAGCTAGAAATTCATAAGTCAGAGTGCCTATTTATGTGCTACATTTCTAGTGTTTTTGTAATTCGGTGTCCAGTAACTACTATGCTTAATAGAATCAGCATATCAGAGCTGAAAGGGACTTTAGTATTATATTTTATTCTGGATAAGGAAACCGAAGTCAAGAGGAGGAATCCTACATCTAGTTATGTGTCCCAGTTCTCATATCTGGGTTTTCTCACCATACTGTACTATATTTCATAACATTTGTTGATCTATGAGATCTTAGAAGGGAATCGAGCTTTTTTTTTTTTTTTTTTTCAGGCTTGGGACAATGTGAGTCTCTTCTCATTCAGGTGTCCATTTCTGTTCATTTTCTTGCTACATAGATCTCTATAATGTTTATTAAATTTTCCCATTCATTTATTTATTCTTTCTTAAAATACTTGCTGTTTTCCTATTTGCCAGTCATAGGGAATACAGAGATGAGTAAAACATAATTCATACACATTTACAGTTTAGCAAAGAGACAGACAAGTAAGCAGATAAGCATTTTGGACTAGATTCCAATTTAGAACTAACTTTGTATTCCATTTCAGTGAAGCTAAAATTATGAGCTAGAAACCAGGAGAAACATGTGTCATGTATTTGGATGTCTTTGAGTAGCTGAAAATTCTCAGACCAGATTGATTAATACTAATAGATGTCTTCCCCTAAAGTCTACCATTTTCTTCTTAGTCTGGTAATGTATTTTATAAAGGGTTTAACATGGAAGCATTAAAAGAAATGTACCCACGCACAGGAAGTGAAAGTATGGAGACCGGTGTTAATGCAAGCCCAAGCCTAGTTCTAGCAAGCCTTGAAATGGGGAGGGATTTGGATTAGTTATAGGTCATCACCTGGTGCTCTGTTAATTCTGGAACTCTTTGAACCTCTCCAAAAATATTATGGTTTGCATACCAAGTATCTAATGTAGGCTAAGACTCATAGCCATAGAGCTATCCATGCTTATTTACAGACACCAGGGCTTCTTGGGAAACCATGGGTTTTTAAGATATACTTTTATACATTTTTTAATTAATTGGAAGGGTGAATATAAATAATTAGTGTTGTTCATCCATGAACTTATTTTCCTCATCTAAAGACTCTATTACCCCATTCTTAGTCTCTCAATAATTAATCACAATATATGCCTGATTATTGCAAACAATTTGGCATTGAGAAATCTCCCCATATGATTTGATAGTTTTTATTTGAGTCACTAAATTATGTTGTAGTGAAATTATTTTAAAGATCTAAAATAGATGGATAAAGAGCACATTCTTAACCATGGAAATTAAAGTTGGAACATTTGGCCTGAATGTCTTCCATGATGAATGTGTAATCCTTTATACATATCCCAATAGAAGTGACAGAAATTAAGAGGAGCAATGCTTAGTTCATTCTTATGCTCTTGTAATGCTCGTACATTGTTTTGGGTAGGTAGGCGATCTGTAAGCTTAAAAAATAGTCTGATTAGATTGATCCTATGGAAAGGGTTGAAGAGACTTAGAACATTTTTGATATTTGATGGAAGAGTAAATAGTTCCATGAAAATCTCAGCTCTCTTCATCTACCCACTTCTCTTATAAAAACTGCAAAAATTAAATACACCTTTTTTTGTTTGTTTGTTTTTTGAGATAGTCTCACTTTGTTGTCCAGGCTGGAGTACAGTGGCATGATCCTCACTTACTGCAAACTTTACCTCCTGGGTTCAAGTAATTTTTGTGTCTCAGCCTCCCGAGTAGCTGGGATTATCAGCATGTGCCACCACTCTGGGCTAATTTTTTTGTGTTTTTAGTAGAGATAGGGTTTTGCCATGTTGCCCAAGCTGGTCGCTAATTCCTGACCTCGGGCGATCTGCCTGCCTTGGCCTCCCAAAGTGCTGGCATTACAGGTGTGAGCCACTATGCCTGGCCAAATACATCATTTTATGGCATAACTACTGACTGAAAAGTAGCAGAGGAAAAAAATCTTAATCAAATTACATTTAAAAAGTTATACCAACAAGAACAACAGACTGTCTTATTATGACATCCATTATGATAAGTCATAATAAAAATATATAATAGAGGCTTGGAAAATGCTTTCTATAAAACAGAAAAAAATCCCTTATTTCCATGGGCCTCACTATTCTCATTTATAATACTGGGTTTTAGATTATATTCTATCAGACCCATTTTGACTCTAATATTTAGTTATAATCAGTACTTAATGCACCATCAGATATTGATCAGCACCATTTAATTAGATAAAATGAATTCTGAACATGGGCAGGGACTGGACTACTGCTTCTTTATAGTTTTACCAAGTGCATCATGCTGTGTATATCTTAAGTAGCCCCCAAATATTTTTTTAATTAAAGGAAGAGAATCAAAAGCACTTGTCCCATAATCAGTGTACAAAAGATTATATTTTGATAACTCTATAAAGAGACTTTCTGGATTTCATTATAATTTAAATATTAGAAAATATTCATGCTATAAGCCCATGACTGGCTGCTTTTATTTTAATATATGTAATTGTACAAAAGGCCAGTCTGTTCATACTCTGAAAGGACCTTTCTAACCACACTTAAGATTCTCTGCCATGAGAATGGCTTTTCTTACATATAATCTCTGTAAGTACATTTTAAAGAATCTGCTTTGCTTTGGTTTCTCCATGTGATTTAGAATGATGATGTACTCAGTGACCACAGAACATTGAAAAAAAATGGTGGGATATGTATGGAGTGCCGAGCTTTGAGCTCTATCTCTGTGTCTTTCTCTCTCTCTCTCTGTGTCATTTTCCTTCCCTTTCTCTGGAAAATAATACAAAATACAAAGAACATTCAAGCATGCTCTTTCCTCTGATTCTCATGTTTTTGTTGTAAAATTAGGTAATTAGTAAATTAAAAGATTAAGTCTTGCTTCCGTGAGAAATGGAAAGATAAAATAGCATTATAGAGTATGTTCTCCTATTGCTACCAATCAATCTTCACTATCATCTTCCTGTCTCAGTACACAGCAGTTCCTTCTTATCCAAGTTTTCACTTTCCATGGTTTCAGTTACCCACTGTCAATCTGATCTGAAAATAAGTGAATAAAGTATACTAAGGTATTTTGAGAGAAAGAGAGACCACATTTACGTAACTTTTATTACAGTATATTATAATTGTTCTATTTTATTATTGTTGCTAATCTCTTACAGTACTTAATTTATAAATTAAATTTTATCATAGGTATGTATATATAGGGAAAAAAACACAGTATGTATAGAGTTTGGGACTATCAGAGACTTCAAGCATCCACTGGGGGTCTTGGAATGTATCATCCACAGATAAGCAGGGGCCACTGTATCTCTGCAATTCACTATAATGCTCCCATGACTTTTAGAGACATTTCAAATTCCTGATCAATCTTAGGTAAATAAAAGTGTACACCTTAGTGGTGTTCTATTTTACAAAAACAGAGAAGAAATATTTTAAATTTTATTTTAATATTTGAAATGTTAACCTGCATGTATCAAAAGGAAGACTGTCGCAATTTGTCAGAGGAAGGGTTTTGTACCCCGCCCTTGCCAGTGTGACACTTCTCTTTCTCTATTTTCCTTCCCTTTGCTCTCTCTAGCTTTTTATTTTTCCCCGTTTTCTGCCTCCTGCTTTTCTACATCCTCCTTGTTTGTGTTACGAGCTGCTATCAGCACCTGACACTGTCAGGTAACCTCACTAGAGCTGGTGGTGAATAAAACAAGATCTTCCATCCTTGCTTCACTGAAATCATTCCAGAAATATATATTGAATTTACTTTCTGATATTCTTGAAAAATACCACAAAATCCAGGACAAAAAGCCAAAGCAACCCCTGTTGGCATTTCCATGAAATACTAGACACCTGAAGTGCAATTTAGAAATTCTCACTATTTCCTATTTCTTGAAGACCTTAGAAGCAGATGAACTGTAGGTCTTGAAAGTTCTATGCTGAGACCAAGTTTTAAGGTTCAAGCATTATCTCACAGTTATGCTATAATCGAACTTTTTGTTTCTAAGCACACAGAAATTCAGAATTTACCTTGGCAGTTACCCAGAAATGATTTTCAGTATAAAGCAGAAAAAGTAGTAAGAGAGACACCACATGCTGAGGGGAGAACGGATAATTCACTGTAACTATTGAAGTAAATGCTGTTATGGATCTGATTTCTTTCTGAAACAAGAATTGGCTGGAGTAACAGCATGGGTTGAATCTATGTGATGTAAATCCGTAGGCTTTGTCAAAGAAGAGAAAATTCCAGATGTTAAACATTAAACTAGGAATCCTGCTTCTGCTTAAAAGCAACAGATGCTATCTGACTCCAGTTCAGTTTCTTCCTCTGTCAAATCGGGATACGTATCTGCGTAATAAGATTTTTACAAGGAGGAAATAAAATGATGTCTGTAAAGTGATCAGCATAGAGCTTGGCATGTAATACTTCATCAATGGTAACTACTGTTACATTTGATTAAATAATGAAAGTTACAGAAATTATAATTTAAGCCTTCCATGCAAAAAGTGAAAGTGAAAGTAGTTTCTCAAATGAATTGAAGCTCAGTCCCAGCCACTTCTTTCTTTTCCCCCAGTCCTCTAAGATAGTTGGCCTTTGAAAGTATATATGTGTATGTTACAAGTGTCTGTGTCTGTGTCTGTGTCTGTGTCTGTGTCTCTGTCTGAATCTGTGTCTCCTGCTTTCCTGCCCCATCCCAGACAAAGGAGGTGGTGGAAAAAGGAGCAGGGGTTGTCACTGAGTGTGGATGAATGAGGTTAAAAATCAAGCTTGGGCTGAGGGAGGGATTACATTCTCTGCCCATGTTCCTCCTGTTGGAGTCAAGAATTTTGATTCATAATAAGAGATACAGGGTTATGTAGTCACCTGTGGATTTATGAAACACAGCCCCTGCTGGGAAGATGGGACGATTTCCGGACATGTGTGTGTGTTTAAAGGAATCACTGTCTTTGGAATTGGTTTTATTAGGAACTAAAGAATTCGAGTTCTATGGGACAATGTGCTTTTTCTTTTGGCTTCAAGAAAACTGAATGTTACGGGTTTGGGTTTGAATTTAGTGCGATCTCTTTCAAAAGCACATTAATAAACAAAAAAATTAGATGCAGTATATAACAGTCTTTTACTGAAATGTTGGTAATCTGTTTTACATGCGTGTTTTGCCCTGAATAAAAGGCTGAACTCCTAATCATCAGCAGTTTCTCTTGCTGTGTGTGGCTTGCTTTCTTTTTGGACTCTTCTTAAAGCCTTCTTAGCTGGACTCTTCGCTATTTGGTCTGTTCTCTGATTCTGTTGTAAAATGTCCTATAAATTTACCATCTGGACAGCAAGTAGTTGTTTGCCCCAAGGAAACGTATTTGTATGTTTAAGTGTTTGCTCAAGCCTTCCCCATCCATCAAGTTGGTCCTCTTCCAAGATTGCAGTCTGATGTAAAAGAAACGTGTTTCATGAAAGTTTTTCTATATATGTTAGCAGTGATGGGTAGGAAATTTCTAGAAGGTACAAGAATCATTCAGTCCTTGTATTTTGCTGCCAACTTTACATGGAAAACTAAGTTTTAGCATTCAAATGATCCTGCAAATCATCATCTGAAATGACATTTGGCCACGAAATGTGGGTAACCATTTGAAGATGGATAGAATACTGTGAAACCTGGATATTTATGCTTTAAAAATTTATCTAAGATTTATTCTGCATAGGAATAAGTGAACTTATATATAAATGAACCTGTATATAAAACTTCAGGAGCATCTGGATGAAAATAAAATGTTTGCTAGTGTCACTTTAATTTCTAGAATTTGGTTAAAAGTATTATTTCTACCATATTCTATGATTCTTCCAGCTAAGGGATAAAAGAACTACTTTCAGTGGATGATATCGTTCTCTCCTTCATGTGCAGCTCTGGTTCTGGGACTACGAGGACAAGACAGTTCTTGTACCCAGAGAATGCTGCTTTGAGTAGGATTTATTCATGAGAATGTACCTTGCCTGCCACTTTGAGAGAAGCCCGTTACATTCATCATAGTAACCCTTTTGTAGCTATTTCTTGATGGACTGAATTAGTAGAATTATGCAGTCTTCTCACTCGAATAGCAGTTGGAAAACTGGTTGAGGCAGGCTGGGTTTCAATACAACAGGAGGAGGTCATGGTTTGGAGAGGAAACCCAGGAAGAGGAACTGGCATGTTTAGAGCAATAAAGGGGAGCAGTGAAGGTGAGGCTGGACTCTATGGTGGAAGCAGAGTGATTTAACACTGCTTCTCAAGATTCTAACACCTCTGGTGAAAAGAATAGCTTTGTTTGGTCGATTGCTTTTCTTAAATTTTGAATTTGTTGAGGACCAATAGTTTTGTAAAATCCAGTAACAATTAATTACTAGAAAAAATGATCTTGTGACCTGACATGGTGGATCACTCCTGTAATCCCAGTAATTTGTCATAGAATTGAAAAAGAAATTAGCCAGGTGGGTGATATACACCCCTAGTTCTAGCTACTCAGGAGGCTGAGGGTAGAGGATCGCTTGAGCCCAGGGTGCAGTGAGCAATGATCTCACCACTTCATTTTAGCACTGACAGAGTGAGACTTCATCTCTAAACATAAATGCATAAATAGAAATGCTTACTTTCTATTTATGTACACATCTCATTGTAAACCAGTTTTTTTTTTTTTTTTTTTTTTTTTTTTTTTTTAAAGCAGTTCACTGACTGACACTAGGTTGTGGGACACATTGAGAAGCACTTGTTTTGGGAATGATGAGAGATGAACTGGAAAGAGGCTGGCACTAAACTGTGAAGAAACTTGTATACCATTATAAGAATTTCAAACGTGATACCATCAACGTTTGGACCAATCTGAAAGTCCTGCTCTTTATTATATTCCTGGATCTGGATTGTAGATTAATTTGTCTAAAACTTTCATGCTGAATAGATGTTTCATAAAATATGTATTTAAAAAGCTATTTTAGCTTAACAGTTATTGGTTAGTGTCACATATGTTGCTCTATACTTTTCAAAATTTTATAGTTAAATAATCTTGTTTTTGAAACGTGGCTTTCTTTGGGTAAAGGAACACTTGATATCCCACTTTTCCCTTCCCTTTTCTCTACCTTGAGTCTGTTTTCATAAGAGCGGGTTGTATTTTACCGCAGATTTCTCAGGAGACCAGAACTGATCTGCCAGCCCTGCTGCCTTTTGTTGCTCTTCTCTTTCTTTACATTGTCTTTACAGTCACCAGGTGTCAAGATGCTGCGAGTACATAAGACTGCACTGGGCAGGCTAGGGGTCAGCCTCGCCAGGCATCTTCATTACAAAGCTGTGTTGGCCGTCCGGAGGGAGGATGTGAATGCCTGGGAGAGAAGGGCTCCTTTAGCTCCCAAGCACATCAAAGGCATCACCAATCTGGGATACAAGGTCTTGATACAGCCTTCGAATCGGCGGGCAATTCATGATAAGGTAAGTATTTCCAATGTTTAACATACGTGAGAATAAAATGAACCTGCATATGAAAATTAAGGAGCATCTGAGTGAAAATAAAATGTTTGCTAGTGTCATTTGATTTCTTTACTTTGGTTAAAAGTATTATTTTCACCCTATTCTATGCTTACTCCAGCTGAGGAATAAAAGAACTTACTTTTAGGAGATGATATATTTCAGTCATTCTCTCCTTCACGTGCAGCCCTGCTTCTGGGACTAGGGGACAAGACTCCATTCTTGCCCCCAGAGAATGCTGCTTTGAGAATATACCTTGCCTGCTACTTGGAGAGAAGCCCATTATATTCATCATTCCACTTGTGCTTCAAAATAATATTATGGGATAGGTTTGACTCCCATTCCCATTTTAGTAATGTATATATACACATATACTTTTCCTTTCCTGAACCATTGTAAAGTGGGTCACAGACTTCATAACTTATTACTGCTAAATGCTTCAGCGCGTATCTCTTCAGAATAAACCAGTTTTCTACATAGCCACCATATTATTTTCATATCTAAGAAATTAATAATTCATAATATCTCATATAGTCTATGTTCAAGTTCCCCATTGCCTCAAATGTCTTTTAATTGAGGTTTAATGAAGCTTTATTGTACTTTATTGTTGTGTGTCTTTAGTTCTTTCAATCTAAAACAGCACATGCCTTTCTGATTTTGTTTCAGTGATATTAACGTTAATATGGGCTCTCTTTGTTTTTTTTTTGTGTTTGAGACTGAGTCTTGCTCAGTCACCAGGCTGGAGTTCAGGGATTACAGACGTGTGTCATCATGCCCGGCTAATTTTTGTAGTTTTAGTAGAGACGGGATTTCACCATGTTGGCCAGGATGGTCTCACTCTCTTGACCTCGTGACCCGCCCACCTCAGCCTCCCAAAGTGCTGGGATTACAGGTGTGAGCCACCACACCCGGGCTCTTGTTTGTTTGTTTGTTTGTTTGTTTGTTTGTTTGTTTGAGACAGAGTCTTGCTCTGTCGCCAGGCTGGAGTGCAGTGGTGCAATCTTGGCTCACTGCAACCTCTGCCTCCCGGGTTCAAGTGATTCTCCTGCCTCAGCCTCCCAAGCAGCTGGGACTATAGGTGTGAGCCACCACTCCTGGCTAAGTTTTGTATTTTTAGTAGAGACAGGGTTTCACCGTGTTGGTCAGGATGGTCTCAATCTCCTGACCTTGTACTTCGCCCACCTTGGCCTCCCAAAGTGCTGGGATTACAGGTGTGAGCCACCGCACCCGGCTGACGTAGACTGTTTTTAAAAGAGCACAAGACTTATAGTGTCATGTCAAACATTTTCAGCATGAATATAACGTAAGTGATACATGTTCTTCCCATTGCATCACATCAAAGGCACAAAACATCAGGTTGTCCCATGGTTGGCAATGTGTGATCACTTGGTTGAGGTGGTTACAGTGAGAGCTCTTCATTGTTAAAGTTTATTTCACCCTTTGCAATTACTGAGTCATCTGTGAGATGGTATTTTATTATCTGTAATGTCCCTATTCCTAAATAACTTTACAGCTACTCATATTAGCCTCCATTGAATCTTTGCCTGAATTAGTTCTTAATGGAGACTTGTGAAGTGATGCTTTTCTAATTTTATCACTCCCCTAAGTTTGTTTGCTGTCATTCTCCTTCAGAAAGAGGTTTTCTTTTATTTCTCTTGCGCTCCTCTACTTTTTTGAGTTGTGAACTGTTTTATTACAGTATATTGAACTGTTTACCAGACTGTGAATTCTGTAATTCAGTGTTTAATTATGCTTCTTTAAAAAACCTTCTTACCTTTGCATTTAAAGCCTTATTGTGAGAAGTTTACATAGACATCTTCATGTTGACAAGATGAATCTTAACATGTTGCTTAAAAGATGAGTTGTGAAGTGTTTTATTACAGTGAGCTGAATTGTTTATCAGTGTGACGTTGCATTTGCTTCTTTAATTTTTGCTTTTTTGAGTATATTTTGGAATCATGAACCCTTTGCGTTCAATCCATTTACCATTATTCTTTTTAATGTCTGAATTTTCCCAAAATTGGTTAGTTCGAGTCCCTTCAAGGGGCCTTCTCTGTCCTTTGGATATGAATCCATTTACCTTTGCGTTTTCCTATTTCTTAGAATAACAAATTGTCCTAGTCTCACCTTGTACCTTTACTGTTCCACATCAGGAAATTAATAATTTCACCAAGAAGCCTTGATCTCTTTTAATATATAGAAACCAAGATCTGGTATGTGGTGTTAAGCATGTTTATTGTTATTGAGATACCATTGCTCTTAGGCTCTTTTAGTGTACAGAGCTTAGAAATAAACACAAGAAGATGCCCACACAAATACATATATTAGTCAATCTTAAGTTAATACTGATACTAAAAGACCTCCAGAGGAAAAAATAATGTCCAGGAAAATGAAAATTTAACATTGCAGAATTTTTTATCTTTAAAATTTTATATTTGCATCTGTTTTCTCCAACAGTAAAAATCTTAATTCTTTAATATTAACGTATGTTGTTAGCTTTATCCTGTAATATATATAAAATAGTGTCAGGATCACAATACTATTATTATAACTAACACTAAACCCACTAAATGAAATTTACTATTTCTTTGATTTTTTTTTCCTTTAGAATATATCTAACAATGAACATTCAGAGTGTTGTATTAAATAACTTATTTGAATTTTTTTTTGGTGTGGTTCCATTATCAATCTGATATCCTTCTAGAATTATATATTATTGTGTCTATTCGATTTTAATGTTTTCTTTCCTGTTTTTTGATTTAATTTTATTTTTCGAAGTAAAACCTTTACAAATTCCAGAAATGAAGTCACATTTTCATTTTAAACCCCTACATCCAATTCTCACCCACCGCAAAGGTTACTTTTGTTTCTGATCTATCATTCTTGTTTCATTTTTTTTTTTTTGCAAAAATTAACACTTGTATGTGTATTTATGTATTTATTTCCCTTTTGTTCTTATACAGAAGGCTGTCTACTATATATGCTCTTTTGTACCTTTCTTTCTTTAGTTACAAGTATCTTGAACATTGCTCTAAGTAAGTTCTTAGAGATATTTCATTTCATTTAAAGACTGTGTGGTAAGTACTCCATTGTACTTTGGTTTATTTGCCAATCTACTACAAATGAGAAAATGGACTGTTTTTTTAAGAAACCAGGGAGAAATTGTGTGTTCATTCTTTATCTCTCTTATTCATCTCTACTTTCCTTTGAAGTAGATTCCTAATTAAATCTATCTGTGGTTGAACTGCTATCGTGGATGCCCCTTTAATTCTGCTTGGGTTATACTTCTTTATTTAAAAATCAAATATGTCTGTGTATTGCTTTCATGTACTAGTTATGCAGTCTCAATTAAATGTGTAAGCCTCAGGTTTCCCATTGATTGAATGAGGATTATAATTGTACTTACCTCATGAAAGTTGTATGAAATTTCAATGAGATAATTCATGCAAAGAGCTTAGCAAAGTACACAGTAATTTATTAATACATATCCATGATTACTGTTACTTATTATCCAATAAAACTTGTATTAGCCATGGTGATATTCAACCTACATTTCCAAATCAGTTTACTCATATGCTGTAAATGTCTCTGTACTCCTCTCCCTTCATATTTTTATATGCCTTCAATGCCTCTTAGTGATATTACCATCTTGTGTTTCCCGTTTTCATTTTTTTAAATTTTAGGTAGCCATTCAGATTAATTTAAATTTTCATAGTTCTCTGGTTATCTTACCATTCAGGTTAATTTAACTTTCTTATTTCTTTGATAATCCCACCTAGGAATTATCTCAATATCAGTTAAAGTAGCATATCACTTAGATGCTGATGATCATAATGGTTTGAATTTGTCATTTACTCCACTCCAGACTACTTTTTACTATATTTTGTGAACTCCTTTATAGAAGGGATCTTGACAATATTTCCTTGTATCTTAGCATCTCATCTCTAGCACAGACTAGTGTACAGTTAGGACAGTAATAAATACGAACTGGGCCAAAACAATGAAAAATAAATGTTATAATTATGTCTTATCTTTTAAAAATACAACTGAATAATAAATCACAAATTGGCATTTACTATTTCAGAGTATTGTTGGTACAAAATGTACATTTCACAAGTATGTTTAAGTCACATGTGCTAGTGGATATGAACAAATTATAAACTCTTCTTAAAGATATGTGTATCCTGAGTTTTCTAATTGTTTTATGCTGTAAGTGTTGAACATAATACATTTATCTTTAACCAACAAGTACAAATATTACAAGTAGTTGTTCTGTTATTTGTTCTAATTCATACAGATTTTATTCCTTCAAAAGATTTGTTGTGTCTTTATTTGCTACACATTTTATTCAAGAAAACATGGATATTACAAATCAGAATATTAACCTTTCATTATAATTAAAATTTCAGGAATATGTCAAAGCTGGTGGCATTCTTCAGGAGGATATTTCTGAAGCTTGTCTAATTTTGGGAGTTAAAAGACCTCCAGAGGAAAAATTAATGTCCAGGAAGACTTATGCATTTTTCTCCCACACAATAAAAGCTCAGGAGGCCAATATGGGCTTGTTGGATGAGATTCTAAAAAAGGTAACTAGTGATTAATATTTATAAATATTAATGTAGAAAAATAGTATTTTTTACTTTTAATAAGTGGAGATTTAGTTTTCTTTTCTTCTTTAGTTTAAGAACTAAACACTGCATTCCTTTTACATTCTGAAATGGAAAGAATGATAAAAGCTTTTTCCCTAAACAGTTTATCAATTTATAAGGCCAATTGGCCATATATTACCAAATAGAATTTTAGAGCTGAAAATAAACCCAGGGATCATATAATCTACTACCGTATTTTTCAGATGGGACCCAGAGGTGTAAAATGACTTGACTGGGTTGCACACTCTGTATGCCAGAAGTGGACTACAGACAATTTTTACATTTATTCACATTCATAAGGAAAAATGCATTTTTGAGATGTAAATACTATGAAGAAAACTAATAGCTGTTTAAAACACAGGGTATTCATTTAACAAATATTTACTTCATGCTGATGATGTGTCTGATACTGTTTGCTCTAATGAAAGAGCAAAAGAGTGACGTATTCTTATCTTCACAGAGCTTACATTGTAGTGGGAGGAGACAGATAATAAATAAATGAGATCAATATGCCACTTGGCAATAGTGTGATGAGCATAAATATAATATTGAAGGAGAAAAGAAGTCCTGGGCACTGGAAAGTGAATATGCTCTTTTAAATAGATGGTCAGAGGGGGCCCCATTGTGAAAGTGGCATTGAGCAACAACCTGAAGGAGGTGGAGGACTGAGCCATACGCATCTGAGATGAGTATTTTAAGCAGACAGAATAGTAACGCAAAGGCCTGAGGGTCTTGTAGAGTATGGGGTTAGAGTAGATCATGTTCAAAAATGCTTATTCTGTCTCGTGTCAGTAATGGTTGGAGGTGGGAGGAGGAGAGCAAAATTACTAAGAAGGCTGCTAACCTAGGCTGCTCTAGACTGCAGCTCACAAGTGATGGTGGCCTGCACCTGGAAGTGGTAGTAATAGAAGTTGTGATATGTGGACAAATCTTGGATGTGTTTTAGAGGTGGATCCTGCAGGATTTACCGATGACATAAAGGTGGAATATGAGAAAAGGAGAGGAGTCAGGAATGACTCCAGGTTTTGGCCTGAGCTACTGAAAGCAATTGCCATGGAATGAGGTGATGCTACTAAAAGAGAAAAAGGCTTGGGTGGGCAAATGGAGAGTTGGGTTTAGGGTCTGCTGAGTTTAATATTCTATTAGACATGGAAAGGGATAAGCCAGGTGGGCTGTTGGATATGAATCTGAAGCTCAGTGGGGCAGCTTCTCCTGACATACAGTTTGTAGTTGTCAGAGACTAGATGATATCTAGAACCATGAGACTGGATGAGCACAGGAAGGGAATAGAGATAAAGAAGTCTAAGGTCCACATCCTCAAGACATTTGAGCTAGAATCTGAGATTAGGACAGAGGATTGGAGAGTTCGTAAACAGTAAAAGCAATGGGAAAACACATATTAAAGAGGAGTATAAAATGTTTTCCAATTAATTCCCAAGACAGTAGACGTGGGTGACAGTTAATTTGTAGTGTTTCTAAAGAACAAGTTCAAAAGTAACTAATGGAAATAATACTATATGAAGAATGTTCTACCTTAAGCAAATAAAGTCTTTATAAAGTACTTTAGGAACATTTTTTTGTTGTTGTTATTTTAACTTGTTCATTATGAGAAAATTAGCAAAACTGACCTGGCAGGGCTGCTTTTGGGCAGCATTTTGTAACCAATGACTTGGAATTGGATGAAGAATAAACATTCTTAAATTCATGAACATGATAAAAATTATATGATCTTTGAGGAAATAAAATTACTGTTTAAAATGCTATATAATTACAATGCAATATGATGTTTTAAGCATGAATTACTAAGACTTTCCTGAGAGGGGAAAGGTTTTCAAGGAAAGAAGAATGTGTTTTTAGTGAAGGCAAGGAAGAGAAATGCAGACATCATTACAGCTTTTAAGAGGAAGGTTACCTATAAAAGGAAGCAGCGGGGGGAAAAAAAGAGAGGAGGAGGAGAGAAAAATATTTGTGCTTGGACTTGAGAGAGTTATTATTTTCCAGGTAATAGAGACCTGAGTATATTTAGAATGGTTGAGAAACAATGGAAAAAGGGAAGATGTGAAAAAGAGGTAATAACAGTTCAAGAAGGGTGGTCTTGGAGGACATGAGAGAAGCTAGGATCTAGCTGAGAGATTCATCTCAAAAGGGATCTGTTTTCTTTGACCAGAAGGAAGGATGTAAGGATGAGTGGGGCTATAGATATGTTAGTAGGTGGTGCTGGATGGGTGGGGGCAAAAAGGTAAGGGAAATTCTACCTTTATTATTTGATTGCCTATCATCAAGGGGGCATAGCACCTTCTATGATCATTTTTTCATTTCCAGTTACAAACCTACCACTGGTTTGCTACCTGGTGTTTTCTAAGTGTTTCATGGTATACCTCACGGTAACTTCTGGTAGCAAGTTAAGATATATTTCAGAGGAAAAAATGTGAAATACTTACTTGCTCATATTTATCTTTACTTGTTACAATTAAGCTTAAAGGGTCCAGTTGGAAATTTTTTTATCCCCTTTTCAGGAAATTCGACTTATTGATTATGAGAAAATGGTGGATCATAGAGGAGTACGGGTAGTGGCATTTGGACAGTGGGCTGGTGTGGCAGGTAAGTACGCCAGAGCTTACATCACCCACTTTCTAAATTGGCTTGGGGAATAACTGTGAGTTTTCTCTTTTCTGTGGCAAGGATATAGGAGTGTTTATTTCCATGGAAAATAAAATAAAAATGAAGGTATGCTGAAGGATGATGCATACAAGTGGAATAATGTATGAAGATGAATGATTAAAAATATTTAATTGCAAAAATTCAAAAGAAAAAGCAGGGAGAGGGACAACAACCACAAATAGGCTCTGCTTTTTAGCTAGTTCCTTTTGAAAGGCTAGAAGGAGATGTCAGTTTGGTAATGAGACATTGGGAAGTAGAAGGTAGGGAAAAAGAAAGGGAAGAAAGGTCCAGGGACAGGAATTTTGTCCAATTAACATTCTGAACCTTGTTTGGTCAAGAAACACCACAATATGTTATAGCTCTGCTTCAGATCAGACTACTTGCAGTTCTAATAAGGGAGGTGATGACTTTGGCATTGTTTGACCTTGTTATTTAAAAGTGGAAAATTCCTTATTATGGTTTATATCATTTTGCTTATTATTAATGTTATACTCAAATCCACCTGCTTCTTAAATAATAAAGAAATCTAAGCAAAAATTTAAAGCTCATAAAATGCTTTTACTTAAAACTAATTAAGGCAGGGTATAGTAACTCATGCCTATAATCCCAGCACTTTGGGAGGCTGAGGCAGGTGGATCATTTGAGGTCAGGAGTTTGAGACCAGCCTAGCCAATATGGTGAAACCCCATCTCTATTAAAACTACAAAAATTAGCTAGTGGTGGTGCACATCTGTAATCCCAGCTACTCCGGAGGTTGAGGCACGAGAATTGCTTGAACCCAGGAGGCAGAGTTTGCAGTGAGCCGAGATCAGGCCACTGCACTCCAGTTTGGATGACAGAGCAAAACTCCGTCTAAAAAAAATACCTTTTCTCACCCAACACACAGATCAGCTCTATTAGACTAACAGAAAATTAAATTTCTTAGTATAAAAGCAGTATTAGAGAGACCTCTGATAACTATGATTCCTAGGGCCTTCCAGGACTCATCCAGATGAGGGTTTTATTTACCTAGATATAATTAATACATCAGAATTAAACCGATTTATTTAGAAGTTACCATATTCAGAAATAGGACCACATCCATCAATAGGATGTGGTTCATGTCCTTAGAGAAGTATTCAGGCAAGTAAACACAAATACAATGCTACTGCTTATTGTTATAAGAAAGGTATTTGAGGCCAGGCATGGTGGTTCACGCCTGTAATCCCAGCACTTTGGGAGGTCAATGCGGGTGGATCTCCTGAACTCCAGAGTTCAAGACCAGACTGGCCAACATGGTGAAATCCCGTCTTTATTAAAAATACAAAAATTAGCCAGGTGTGGTGGCAGGTGCCTGTAATCCCAGCTACTTGGGAGGCTGAGGCAGGAGAATTGCTTGAATTTAGGAGGCAGAGGTTGCAGTAAGCCGAGATCATGCCATTGCACTCCAGCCTGGGAGACAAAGACTTCATTTCAAAAAGAAAAAGAACAGAAAAAAAGAAGTTATTTGAACTTAGCTGTTGCAAAAGCTTTCTTTTAAAAAAGTGCCTTTGAAGCTGATATCTGAAGAATGATTAAACACTATTCAAGGAAGTAGGGGAAGACAGTGATTAAAATGGTTAAAAACTATTCAAGGAAGTAGGGGAAGCAAAGCTCAAAGTGAAGAGGGGAAAAAGAATAGTTTTAAGGAATATAAATAAGTTCATATTTAAAGTGTATATGGAGAGAAGGATATGTGGTTCTTAGAAATATTTAGAAGGTGAAATTCACAGGATGTGGTGACTGGATGCAGGGGTGAGGGGGTGAGAGAAACACTTTAAAGATAGCATCCAGGTTACCAATTTTGGCAGTGATTCAGTTCTTTCAGTACCCACAGAAATGGAAGAAGAATTTGGAGGAAGAGAGTAAATGAATTCTGTGTAGGACAATATATTAGTAGATTACAAACTAAGTTGCTGTAATGGAGACCCCATAGAATAGAACTTACATAAGCTAGAAGTCCAGGGATGAATAGTCTAGGGAGGGTGGGATGGAGGGGAAGGCTCTGCTATTGTCAACACTTGGCTTTCATTTCTAAGGTGACCCTTCAGGTTGCTGTTTTCCAGTCAGTGGAAAGGGGAGAAATGAAGTGGGGGCAAGCAGCTTCCTTTCTAAGGAGGTGACACAGAATTTGAACATATTATTTCTGCTCATACCCATTGGTTTAAATTGATTGAGAAATGTAATCTATAACTGGGCAACTATGTCTGCTTCTAAAACCATGTGCTCTCCATCCATGAAGAATTAACTGAGTTCAGACTTACTATCCTGTCATTATCCAACTAGAAAAATTTGATGAGATGTGGAAAACAATGTTATCAAGACGCTGGACAACAGGCAGTACAGACTTGTGATTCCTGATAGATAGAAAACAGATGAGGTGAGCTCTATGCTCACTCTGGCTTTTGGTCTGGAGAAATTTCCAGAGGGTATGAATATGAGAAAGTGACACAAAGCCTGGTGGACTCACTGAGCTGAGGAAATAGGAGTTGGGGAGCCTGAGGTGGCTGGAATTGACAGCACATAGTACCAAAGAGGGGGAAGCTATGCAGAAATAGGTGTTCTAGAAATATGCTTAGGGATCTTGCTGAGTGGAGGATGAAAATTCATGAGACTGGCTGAGGATCGATTTGAAAAAAAGAACAATGCCAGGGAACTCTATAGCAAACTGTTCCCAGAGTTTGTACCATCAGCCAGAGTGGAGAGACTTCACTGAATATATGAGACTTTCAGGGAAGCCCTGATGTGTGTGGTTAAACCAGCTCTTAATGAAGCCTGTTCTAAATTCACTCCTACAAAAGCTTAAAAATGAGCCTAATGTCTGATTTGAGAGAAATATAATTAGCAGACAAATAGATTAAAATAGCTATAATAAATGCTCAGTATATTCATGTTTTAAATGAAAACATAAACAAAATGAGGACAGAAATAGAAAAAATCAGTCAATCAATCAATAGACACTACAGAGGAAAACCTATACATAAGCAGAGGAGTAAAGAAGATATAGATAGATAGATAGATATATAGATAGATAGATAGATAGATTTTCTTCTGTAGTGGCTATTGATTTATAGATACATGATAGATAGATTGATTTCTTCTACTCCTCATTTTGCTTGTGTTTTCATTTAAACATTGAGCATATTGAGCAGCATCTCTGTCATTTCTTGTTTCTGGGTTTGTTTCTGTTGCTGAATATCTCCAAGTTAATGTTCCATTGCAAGACTTAATTTTTTACTGAATGACAGACATAGTTCATTTTACATTGTTGATTATTAGATTTTTATGTTTTCCTTTCAGGACCATCGGGTTTTGTTCTAACAGGCAATTGTTTGTGGATTACATTGATTCTCTTAAGGCTTGTTTTCCTTTCACCTCCTGTTTTCCATCTGGGACTCCAAATACACACATATTAAACCATTTGATCACCACCTGTCATTTAAATTCTGTTTTTTTTTTTTTTCTCAGTCTTTTTTCTTTTTCTTTTCTTCATTTTGTTTAGTTTCTACTGCAATGAGGAAGAAAATGTTTAAAGAAATTTGACCAAAATGTTCCCATATTTTGATAAAAATTATAAATACACAGATAAGTAAAGTTCAACAAACCCCAAGTCAAAAACAGAAATTAAAAATCACAAAGAAAATGACACTAGAACCATCATAATTATCTTGCTAAAAAACAATGAGAATTTAAAATAATGGGAAAAAGGAACAATATACATAGAATAACTAAGATAAACATCAAACTTCTAATCAGAAACAGTTTAAGCTAGCAGAGACTGGAGCAACATCTTTAAAGTGCTGATAGAAAACAAACCAACCTATAATTTTATGTACAGTACAATATCTTTCCCAAAGCAATATCTTTTCAATACCTTTCTGGATATCTTTCTAGTAAATGAAGATTGAATATAGATTTTCTGGTCAAATGAAAGCTAATACAATTCACTGCCATAGAAATATTTTAAAAATTTCTCAAGCAGAAGGAAAATGAAATCAGTTGAAAATATGGATTGAATTAAAGAAACAAAGAACACTACCAATGGTAGAATGTAAACAAATATTAAAATCATCTATCTTATTTTAAAACTTTTTTTTAATGGCCGGGCACAGTGGCTCATGCCTGTAATCTCAGCACACTGGGTGGCCAGGGCAGGTGAACTGCTTGAGCTCAGGAGTTTGAGACCAGCCTGGGAAAAATGGTGAAGTCCCATCTCTACAAAAAAATGAAACATTAGCTGGGCTTGGTAGTGCATGCCTGGTATCCCAGCTGCTTGGGAGGCTGAGGACTGCTTGAGTCTGAGAGGTTGAGGCTGCAGTGAACTGTGTTCATGCCACTGCATTCTAGCCTGGGTGACAAAGTGAGTTAACTGTCTCCAAAAGAAAAATTCTTTAAAAAAATAATTCATAGTTTCAAATGAAACAATGTATTACGACATTCATAACACAGCTAGAAATAAAACTTATGCCACCAATAATGATGAACGGAAGAGGAATAGAAACATAGTTTTGTAAGGTTCTTTTATTATACCTGAAATGGTATGTCGTTACTTGATAGTTGACTATAATAAGATAAAGATGCATATGGTAACCTAGAACAATCACTAAAAACAAGGCTCTAGAGCTAATAAGCCAATAATGGAAGTAAAATTTCATACTAAGAAATACACAGTGCAAGCAAAAATACAAGAAAAAGTGCATAAAACGGTACAAAGTATAAATAAAACAAGAATACAAACAGCAACACGGTAGCTTTAAATTTAGCTATATCAATATATATAATTAATGGCCTAAAAACTCCAAGGTGGCCTATACAATGAATCACAAAACAATTCTTGATAAACTTAAAAGTTTGAAATCATACAGTATGTATTCTAACTGTAATAAAATTGCCCTAGAAGTTTTTATAGAAAGATATTTGGAAAATTTCCAAATATTTGGAAGATATTCAGTGTATTTTTGAATAACTGATGGGTTAAGAAGAAATTATAGGAAAATTATAAGGTATTTTTAATAGAAGAAAAATTTAAAGTATAGCTTATCAAAATGTGTGGGCTATAGATAAAGTAGTAATTAGAAGGAAATTTACAGCATTTAATTCTTTTATTAGAGAAGATAGTTCTAAAATTAATAATTTGTGCTTCCACCATATGAAGCTAGAAAATTAAAGAGAAATAAACTCAAAAGCAAGTAGAAAGAAATAAGTAATAAAGATACCAATAAAATTAATGAAATCAAAACAGGGAAAGAATAGAGAAAATCAATGAAACCAAAACCTGGTTCTCTGAAAAATATCAATAATTTTGATTAACCTCTCTGATTAAAAAAAAGAGAGAAGACACTATTTACTAAGAAGGAATACAAGGAGCCATCACTATATTTTACAAATATTAAAAGGACAAAGGAATATTATGAATAGGTCAATAAATTTGGCAACCTTGATGAACTAGATGAATTTTCAAAGGGCACAAATTGCCAAAATCAGCTCAAGAAGAAATGAAAAACTTAAGTATCAAGGTTCAAAATAAATTCCATGAATAGGCATTTATTAAGAGAAATACCATATTTCATACAAATAATTTTTTATAGCAACTCCATTTATAATATTCTGGAAACAACCTAAATGATCAGTAGAGGAATAAACTGAAATGGAAATGAAAAATCTCTTCAGCAACAAACAGAAACTAACTACTTATACACACAAAATATGTATGAACCTCAAAAACATTATGCTGAGTGAAAGCTGACACAATGTAAAAGAGTACAACTGACCGTTAAACAACACGAGTTTGAACTGCATGAATCCACTTATAATCATGGGATGCAAAACCACCTTTATGGGGGGCCGCTTTTTTTTATATAGGTGGGTATCACAGGATTGACCGTGGGACTTGAGTATGCCCAGATTTTGATATATGCAGGGATCTTAGAACCAACCCCCTGCATATACTGAGAGGTGACTGTTTAAAATTTCATTTACATGTAACTTTAGAAGAACCTAATCTATGCAGAGAGAAAGATCAGTGGTTGTGGAGACCAGAGGTTGGTGAAATACTCTGCATCTTGATCATGGTAGTAATAACACAGATGTGTATATTTGTTAACAGTTACCAAATACAGTTTAAATGGGTGCATTTTGTTGTATATAAACTATTTCTTTATAAGTTGACTTTAGAAAAACAATAAAAGAAAATTTGGTAGGGATACATGTCGGGGGTGAGGAACATGGAAAGTTCTTTCATAAAAAGAATAAGGAGTGAATGGATGCTGAGGTGTTTGTTACAGGCACAAGAAGGTGTCTGGCTAGGTTTTGAAATCAAAAGAAAAATCTGTTTTGGAGAAACAGATTTGAGGTCATCTGCATATAGATAGTACTTGAAATTTAGGACTAGATGAGATTACCTAAGGTCATCTAGGGACAAATGTAGATATGAAAGAGAACAGAGCTCAGGACAGAATCCTGAGGGTGAATAATACAAAAGGAGTTGGCACAGGAAGAGGAACCTACAGAAAGGTAGGATAAAAAAAATTGAAGTTGGGATGCTGAGGGGTCCTCTGTTTCCACAAAGAAGAGGTCTGCATTGCCAAGCACTTCTGACCTGATCTGCAATGTCTCCACTGAGTTTAGTTATTTAGGTCACTAAATAGATGATGGGAACCCTAGGGTTAATGGTGACTTTGTTTTTGTTTGTTCATTTGCTTTTGGTAGGGAGGCATGGCAGCATGTTTAAATGCTGATGAGAATGAAGCAATAGGGAATAATAGTGAAGGGATGGGATCTAGAGACAATGTGGAGAGATTAGCCTTAGATAAGAAGAGGAACATTCTTTCTATTTTATCAGGATTGACGGTGGAAGGGATAGATGGGGCTGCATTTGGGTTAGTGCATTTGATGCCAGAAAGTCCAGAGGATGGATAAGATCTACTGAGGCCTCTTCCAAATCTGAGATGCTGTATTTGTGCTCTGCAGGGCACTATGCAGATGGGAGAATGGGCAGAGAGAACAGCTGAAGTTCTTCCCAACTAATAGTCTTTCTATTGGTCTGATTCCGTAACAGGGATGATCGACATTTTACATGGAATGGGTTTACGACTCCTTGCTTTGGGACATCACACACCTTTTATGGTGAGAGATGTTTATTTTGCTTATTTTTTTGGAAAACACATCTCTTTTAAGAATTAAAAAGAGCTGGTGGACTAACTTGAGTTGTGTATGTTTGCTTTCAGCACATTGGCATGGCTCATAACTACAGGAATAGCAGTCAGGCTGTGCAAGCTGTCCGTGATGCTGGCTACGAAATATCTCTAGGTTTGATGCCTAAGTCAATAGGGCCCTTAACATTTGTGTTCACAGGAACTGGTAATGTTTCTAAGGTACATTTTACCTGACTTCCTTCTGTAAACAATCCAAAACTCTAAAACTAACCCTAATGATGTGGGCAGGCATTTTGTGGGTATTTCAAATGAACTGAATGAAATTTTTGGTACTTTTCTTACCAACATATTTTTCTCATAGGGAAAAGTAGTAATGATCCAAATATGTGTATATGTGTATATGTACATGTGTGTATGTATATATGTGTGTCTATCTATACATACATACATAGACACATGTAGTTTTTAGTTGATAGCTAGGTATCTGAGTCTTGGAATACTTTTTCTTTCTTTGTTTTTCTTTTTTTAAAAGAGATAATTCAGCTGGGTGCAGTGGCTCACACCTGTAATCCCAACACTTTGGGAGGCCAAGGCAGGTGGATCACCTGAGGTCAGGAGTTCGAGACCAGCCTGGCCAATATGGTAAAACCCCATCTCTACCAAAATTGCAAAAATTAGCCAGGCATGGTGGCGCACACCTGTATTCCCAGCTACTAAGGAGGCTGAAGCAGGAGAATCACTTGAACCTCTGAGGCAGAGGTTGCAGTGAGCCAAGATCGCACCAGCGCACTCCATCCTGGGTGGCAGAGTGAGTCTCTGTCTCAAATAAATAAATAAATAAATAAATACATAAATAAATAAATAAAGATAATTCGTTGTTAATAGCAAAAAGGTCTGTTCTGGGTGTGATCTGTTTTACCTTCATTACCAATATGTCCAAGACTTTGAAAGTGACCTCACGATGTCCATTTTTCAAGACTACTCAGAGTTTTGCAAAAAAGATGTTAAAAGGATTCATTTAAGGCTAGAATTCATACCTTCTTCCTTCTCTGGTGGTTTTAAGAATCTATTTGTAATCTCCTATAGAAACCTGTAATTGTAGAACAATTCCTTCTTCAAAGAAAATATTTTACAAATGGAATATCATTATTCATATTATATTGTGAGGTAAGCATCTGATTATTTCCTTTGTAGGAAATATAATTTTCCCATTTGAAATAATTTCTACAATGGATTTAAAATAAATGGAAATATTTTATTGTGCCCTCATTTCTAAATACTCTGATAAATTCTCTGAGTGACTTAAATAAAAAAGAAAAAAACACTGGGCGCGGTGGCTCAAGCCTGTAATCCCAGCACTTTGGGAGGCCGAGGCGGGTGGATCACAAGGTCGAGAGATCGAGACCAACCTGGTCAACATGGTGAAACCCCGTCTCTACTAAAAATACAAAAAATTAGCTGGGCATGGTGGCACGTGCCTATAATCCCAGCTACTCAGGAGGCTGAGGCAGGAGAATTGCCTGAACCCAGGAGGCGGAGGTTGTGGTGAGCCGAGATCGCGCCATTGCACTCCAGCCTGGGTAACAAGAGCGAAACTCCGTCTCAAAACAAAAACAAACAAACAAACAAACAAAAAAAAAAACGAACATTAAAGCCCCTTCGAATTTGTGCTGTTCACAGAGAAATAAAAGCTAGCTAGCAGACTGCTTGCAAGCAGCTCATCTCTATTTCTATGTTGCAATTCTGGTTGCAGGGAAGGCAAGCGGAGATAAATAATTGTTGGGAAAATGATCAGAATCTTTGCAGAAAACCATGTTGTTCTTTTTCTATTGATTTTTTGATTTTTATTCACATGTTATTTGTAGGGAGCCCAGGCAATCTTTAATGAGCTACCTTGTGAATATGTGGAACCCCATGAATTAAAAGAAGTTTCCCAAACTGGAGGTAAAGGACAGGGGATGACTAACTTTTAATGTTTTAACAGTCTCTGTGTTATAATATTTTATCACCATAAATTTTTATTGTCACCCACTTTACTAATTTCTTTCTCCTTTGCAAGACCTCAGAAAAGTGTACGGGACTGTGTTAAGTCGCCATCATCATCTTGTCAGGAAAACAGATGGTGTGTATGATCCTGCAGAGTATGACAAACATCCTGAGCGCTACATAAGTCGTTTTAATACTGATGTGAGTATGGTATTCAGCTTTTAAGTTGGTTGCTTATGATACAATGTAGGGAGGCTGTTTTCAAAAAGAGAAATTACGAATTGTACATTGGCTTTCAGTTTTCCTGTTGTAAGTCCTTTGGGTATCACGAGTTGGCCTTTGGAGCTGTTGTCTTTTAGGGACATTTTAGTGCTTTTGTTGGTTTTTGTGGACATACTCTTTGTTTCACTGTCTCCATTTCTGCCTTAGGTCTACATGTGCCCAATAGCTCTAAGCCATTTCCTGTGAGTTACTGTTTTCTGTATTTATCCTGGACTAGTTAGCACTGTGGGTAGAGCACAGTGCATATGAGGTTTGGTCTCAGGTCTCAGCATGGCCACAAATTACAACCATAATCTCAGCCAGCAATCTTGAAATGCATGCCATTGATTCAGGGGGTGAGGGGGACATAGTGTGCCTGTGTAAATGCAGACCATCCCCACTGTATGAAAAAGCTATTATACTTACAACTCAAATCCTTTGATGGGACACACTGGCCTTATCTTAAAAGAAATAAAATATATTTGTGTGTTCTATAGTCATTGGCCATACAACAATCTTCCCCCAGATAAACTAACCAACCAAGAAATAAATTTTTTTAAATGCATGCATTTATTGTGAAAAGGAATGCTTTAAATAATTTTAAATATGTTTGACCAATGTAGCATTTTTAGATTTTGGTATGAAGTTTAGCCCTTATATCATTCAGAGCATGTTAGAGAGAACTTTTACCTTCGATTTGAGATGTTTGAAGAAGAAAAATTATGAACATAGTTTCAAACTGAAAAATTCTGAATCTAGGAAATCTTTATTCCTTCTCATTTCTCCAATCACAGAAGTATTGGTGATTGGATGCATCCTAAAATTGATAATGAGCTAGTTACCATGTATGCATGTGTGTAGCACATTTCTCTATGGAGCTTACAGATGTTATCTGATTTAATCTTCACAGCATTCCTTTGAGGAATGGGGTGTGTATTATCCCCATCAGGCAGGTAAGAAAAATAGAGCCCAGAGAAGTTGAGGGAGCATGATTTAGGTCATACCCTCCAGGTAGAAGAGCTGGAAATAGAATTTTAGGTCCACTGTTTTGTGTCTGTGTTTGTTTTTTGTCCTTTTTCTTTGGCATGCAGTACATTATAGAATGAACATATTAATGTATTTATGGTCATATACTTCCCTGTCATGGGGTAATTCTACACTGAAATCCGGGTGTAGAATTATTATCTTTACTTCAAAAGATGGACGCTGACCTGGACAATAAGAAAATCAATTAGAAGTTATATTTAATTCTTTCTCATAGACTTTACTGATAGCTCTCTTTTAGTATGCTGTATTAAAATGGGTTATTTTCTATTTTCTTGAACCTGGAACTTGCATTAAAGATTGCACCCTATACAACTTGCTTAATTAATGGAATCTACTGGGAACAAAACACTCCTCGCCTCCTAACTCGCCAAGATGCTCAGAGTCTCCTGGTTCCAGGCAAGTTCTCAGCTGCTGGTGTGGAAGGCTGCCCTGCACTACCACACAAGTAAGCACTCTTCAGCAACAACGGCAGTTTTTACCAGCTGCTTCCATTATTAGAGGATCACAGAATGTGATGTCCCCTCATATCATAGGACTTGATTTCTAATGACTACGTCTCTGCCTTATCTTCCTTGACCTCTTGGCAGTACTCGACATTGTTAACCATCCCTCCTTCTTTTTTTTTTTAACATTTTATATATTTATTTTTAGAGATGAGGTCTTGCTTTGTTTCCCAGGCTGGTGTAAATCTCTAGGCCCTAAGCAGACGCCATGTTTTGGCCTCCCAGGGTGCTAGGATTACAGGCACGAGCCACAATGCCCAGCCCATCCCCACTTCTTGAAACACTCTTTTTTTGATTTCTGTGATGCCGCATGCAGCTCTGTAACCCTCTCCCCAGAGAAATCTTCTCTTGCTTCTCCATTCCTATCTCTGTCTCTAGTTTGTTACTCTTGTTTTTTGTTTTGAAGTTTCTCATTTATTTTCTCATGTTTATGATTTTTCTCCCTCTTCCTAGAACTTAATCTCCTTAAGGATAGGGGGTTTGTTTATCTTGTCCACAACCATCTAGTGATATATAATGGGCATTCAAATAATCGTTAAATATTGAATGAATCAATTAATCAAAAAATATTTGTGGAGGAGTAAAAGATATGTTTGCTTTTCTAGGCATGTAACTGGCATCCAGTAAATGCCAAGGGAATGCTAGAAGCAACAACGTCATCGGGGTTTAGAAGAAAGCAGAAGCTGGGCTCAGCAAACCTTAAAGGGAAAAGTGAGGAGAACAAGAATTCCAAGTGAAAGGATTGGTGATTAATAAATATGGAGGCAACAAAGCACATATAGGGAGCTAAATGTGACAGTCTAGCTCTATATAGGTTCATGTATGCAAGTGGTAATTGGAGACTGTGCAGAAAAATTGTAGTCAACCGTTTTGAATGCTGGAGTGAGACCGTTGTTCATAATTCTAGAGGTTTCTGTGTAATCACATGTAAGACTATGTAATACTAAACAGGGTGGAGGTAGCATAATTGAACCTTTCTGAGTTATTTAGAGATAGCTAACTACCTTAACTTTAGTCTATTAATGAGTTATCCAGGAAAGCAATTTTCTGCTTTTGTTTTTCTCTTTTCTTTCTTTTTTTCTTGTGGAGATTAAAACTCATATTGGGAAGAGTTTCTGTATCACAGAACAGTGCAAAAGAATGAGATATAGAAAAACTGCCCAAGAGCCTGGAAAATATTTGGCATCCACATTGAAAATTGTTCCAAAGTCCTCTCATTTTTAGTCTTGTTGGAGACTTCAGAATTCCATCCTCTCATCTAAGTATTGATGTTATTTTCAGACTTGTGGCAATATGTGACATTTCAGCTGACACAGGAGGGTCTATAGAGTTTATGACCGAGTGTACAACAATAGAACGTCCTTTTTGCATGTATGATGCAGACCAGCATATTATTCACGACAGGTGAGTTTGCTAAAGTTGTTATATGGTATTCATCACTTGGCTACATTGATATACTACTCCAAAATGCTCAATATTTTACATCTTCATGAAGCTATGAAAATTTGGAGAGAAATACTCAAACATATGAAAATTTGGTAAAAAAATTGCAAATTTCAACACTTATATATATAGTATATATATATGCATATAGTGTATATGTGTGTGTGTGTATATATATGTGTATATATACACATATATATATATTTAAATGGGATACGGGTTGCTGAAGAAGGAAAATTTTTTGTTTGAAACGTTTTATTTTCTCATATACTTTTATACAAAATTACAAATGATAATGAAGCAAATATAATGGAGTAGACATCGAAAAAAGTCAGAACTTACAAGTAATGTTTTGTGTTTCTGAATAAACCATATTGCTTTTCTTAGTGTTGAAGGCTCTGGGATCCTGATGTGTTCTATTGACAATTTGCCAGCACAGCTCCCAATTGAAGCTACGGAGTGCTTTGGAGACATGCTTTACCCTTACGTTGAAGAAATGGTAAGCAGACTGGTAATATCAATAACAACTCTGTGGCTTTAAATAGAATAATGGAGTGATTCTGTGAATGTTCTGGTCTTCTAAGAAATCTGTTGTGAAATGAAATGCCAGCCCTTCCCTGAAATACTTACTGATACTATTTCATTTGACATATTCTGCTTACTTATTTCTTAGGGAATATGATGATATCACTGTCTTCATGCTTCATTACAATGACATCTCTCTCCCATTATAGGTATTTTATTAAGAACGTTCATGAGATAAAACATGCTTTATTTTTGATTCTTTGCTGTCTAGGTCAGTTCATGTCGGGAGACTCTTACTGTGCCATAATAACCAGATCTGGAAAATTAGAAATATGGAACATTTTATTGGGTTCTGGTCACTAACGGTTAGTTAAGTGACAGGTTATGTTGAGGTCATGTATTTTTCTTCTGTGATTGGTGATTAGCTAATGAAATACCATGTTATCTATATTTCATTTTCTTTATCTAAGAAAATTATTTTTTATTTCAGTTTTTATCCTAAGCATTCATAGCCATCCTGCTTTATTTTTATTCCAGACTGTCCGCTTCTGCCAATGATCCTAATATAAAGAATGGCTCTTGTTCTTTTCATCTATATCTTCATTCATAAGCTCTCACACTATTAATAGAATAATAGTTAGTGGGACAAGAATAAATGAAATTTTCGGTCTGTGATCATCTTTTCTTTCAAATAGTATTCCATTTGGACCTTTCTTTTTCCTATTGGAATATATCAACAAGGAGATGTAGCAGGCTTGAGAAAATGCAGGCAGCAGGTACTGTCACAGTTAGACATGATATTGCACCTACTGTGTGCAGGAAGTGTTCAAAGTACTAAATATATTTTAATTTTAAGTACTCATGAGAACGATATTAGGTAACTGCCATCATTAAACCCATTTTACATATTATAAAACAAATACAGAGAAGTTAAGGATGAGAAGTGTTGCTTATGCAGTCAGTGCTGGGTCTGCTTTGTGTCTGGAGTTGGTGCTGAGGGATTACAGAAGCAGGAGAAGGAGAGTACAAATGCTAGACTTTTCTGGAAACATCAGCTTGGTTTATGGCCTCGAGCAGGACACTCACTTCCTTTCTGACCCTCAAATATTTTATCTGTAACATGAGGTGCTTGTAATAAATACATAATCTTAACAATTTCTCCAGTTCTAAAATTCTATAATAGTAAATGTTTAAGTGGCCAAACTGTATGTGTATAAAAAATGCAGTAGTGTATTTACCAAAATGTTTGCCATTTTTGATACTCTTCATTCATTTCCCATTGGCGTCATTTCCCTGAAGACTGAATAACATAATTTATCACTGCTTATAATACAGGTTTGCTAGTGACAGATTTTCTAAGTTGTCCTATATCTGAAAATGGCTTCATATTCTCTATTCTGCTAATCAGACTTTTCTATGCATTTTTCATTTCTGATGTTCTGTTTTCAGTTTTAGAATTTCCATTGGGTTCTTTAAAAAAAAATTGTTTTGGTATTTTCTGTTTCTCTGCAGAGAGTTTCTATCTTTTCATTAGTTATGAGTGTGCGTGTTTTTTTTTAATACATGAAACACAGTTATAAAAACCATTTTACAATCTTTATCTCATGCTTCCAACTTTCTGAGTTAACTTGGGGTTGAACTTTATTGATGCTCTTTTCCCTTGAGAATGGGTCATAGTCTTCTGGTTTTCATAAATGTAATAATTCTGGATTGTAGCCTGGATGATGTGGATATTATGTACATTTATCAAATACATTTTCTGTATTCATTGAGAAGATTATTTTTTCCTTTGCTCTGTTAATATGTGAATTGTGTTAGTTGGTTTTCAAATATCAAACTAATTTCACATTCTTAAAATAAATCACACTTGGTTTGTATGTTAATCTTTTATTCATGACTAGGTTCAACTTACTAAGTAATATACCAAAATATATTAATCTATTTTACCATTGGTAGACATTTGGGATTGTTTTCTTTTTGGGGCTTTTACTAACAATTCTACTATAAAGATTTTTTGACATGTCTTTTGGTGTGTGTCTGTGTGTGTGTGTGTGTGTGTGTATATATATATATACACACACACATATATATATGGCAAGAGAAAGAAAGAAAGAGCATTTAAATAGGAAGAGAGGAAGTCAAATTATCCCTTTATGCAGATGACATGATTCTATATCTAGACAACTCCGTAGTCTTAGCCCAAAAGCTCCTTAAGCTGATAATTTCAGCAAAATTTCAGGATACAAAATTAACATACAAAAATTATTAGCATTCCAATACACCAACAATCGTCATCTGAAATTTTATTTATTTGAGTCTTTTCTCTTTTCTCCTTAGGCAGACTAGGGGTTGATTTTGTTTACCTGTGCAAACAAACTCCTCATTTCATTGATCTTTTGTATTTTTAAAGTCTCTATTTTGATTATATCTTCTCTAACCATCATTATTTCTTTGTGTCTACTAATTTTGGGTTTAGTTTGTTCTTGTTTTTCTTGTTCCTTGAGGTGCAGCATTAGGTTATTTGAGATCTTTGTTCTTTTTTGAGATAAGCATTTAAACATTGCTATAAACTTCCTTCTGAGTACTGCTTTTGCTGTTTCCCATAGGTTTTGGTATGTTGTGTTTTCATTTTCATTTGTCTCTAGAAATTTTTAATTTTCCCTTTCTCTATTAACTCATTGACTGATCAGGAGTATGTTGTTTAATTTGCATGTGTTTGTAGTTTCCAAAGTTTCTCTTGTTGTTGATTTCTAGTTTCATACCATTGTGATAGAAAACAATACTTTATATGATTTCGATGTTTTTGAATTTGTTAAGACCTATTCTGTGGCCTGCCATATAGTCTATTCTGGAGAATGTGCTATATGTATTAGAGAAGAATCTGTATTCTGGTGCTGCTGGATAAAAAGTTCTGTATTTATCTATTAGGCCTATTTTGTCTAAAGTGCAGATCAATTCCAGTATTTTCTTATTAATTTCTTTCTGATTATCTTTCCATTTTTGAAAGAGGAGGGTATTGAAATCTCCTACTATTATTGTTTTGCTATTTTTACCTTTACATTGATCAATATTTGCTTTATATGTCTAGGTGTTCAAATGTTGAGTGCACAAGTATTTACAGTTGCTTTGTCTTCTTAATGACTTGAGCTCTTTAATAATGACTTGTCTCTTGTGAGAGTTTTTGAGTTTAAGTCTTTTCTATCTGGAATAAGTATTGCCCCTGGCCTCTGTTGGCTATTATTTGATTTGCATGAAATATCTTCATTCATCCCTTTTGAGGGATGAAAGCCTATGTGCATTCTTAAGGTGAAAGTGTGTCTCCTGTGGGCAGCACATAGTTAGAGCTTTTTTGTTTTCCTCCTTGCAACTTTTGTTTTAGGTTCAGTGGCTACATGTGCAGTTTTATTACATGGGCAAATTGCATGTCACTGGGATTTGGAGTAAAAATGAATTATCACTCAAGTAGTGAGCATATTAACCAATAGGTAGTTTTTCAATCCTCACCCTCCTCCTAGGCTCCACCCTCAAATACACACTGGTTTCTATTGTTCCCTTCTTTGTATCCATGTGTACTCAGTGTTTATCTCCCACTTATAATTGAGAACATGAAGTATTTGGTTTTCTGTTTCTAAAGTAATTTGCTTAGGATAATGGCCTTCAGCTGCATACACATTGCTGCAAAGGACATGATTTCATTGCTTTTTTTTGTTGTTTGCTTTGTTGTTTTGTGACAGAGTCTTGCTCTGTCACCCAGGCTGGAGTGTAGTGGCACCATCTCGGCTCACAAATCTCTGCCTCCTGGGTTCAAGCAATTCTCTTGCCTCAGCTTCCCAAGTAGCTGTGATTATAGGTGCCTGCCACCATGCCTGGCTAATTTTTATATTTTTAGTAGAGACAGGGTTTCACCATGTTGGCCAGGCAGGTCTTGAACTCCTAACTTCAGGTGATCTGACCACCTTGGCCTCTCAAATTGCTGTATTATAGCTGTGAGCCACTGTGCCTGGCCTATTTCATTCTTTATTATGGCTACATAGTATTCCCTGGTATATATGTACACACTTTCTTTACCCAATCTACCCCTCATAAGTATGTAGATTAGTTCCATATCTTTGCTATTGTGAATAGTAGAGCTTTGTTTTTTTAACCCATTCGGCCACTCTGTTTTAATTGGACAATTTAATCTTTTTTAAAAAATTTATTTATTTTACTTTAGGTGCATACTATATCTGGCATTTCTCCCCATGTTATCCCTCCCCACCCTCTACTCCCTCCCCACATTCTGCTGTCTCTCCCCTACCTCCTCCAACTGCCCCCAGTGTGTGATGCTCCTCTCCCTGAGTCTACTTGTTCTCGTTGTTCAACACCCACCTATGAGTGAGAACATATGGTGTTTGGCTTTCTGTTCTTGTGTCAGTTTGCTGAGAATGATGGTTTCCAGATTCATTCAAGTCCCTACAAAGGACATGAACTCATCATTTTTTATGGCTGTGTAGTATTCCACGGTATATATGTACCACATTTTCTTTGTCCAGTCTATCATTGATGGGCATTTGGGTTGGTTCCAGGTTTTTGCTATTGTACACATGGCTGCCATGAACATACGTGTTCATGTGTCTTTATAATAGAACGATTTACAGTTCTTTGGGTATATACCCAGCAATGGGATTCCTGGGTCAAATGGAATTTCTATTTCTAGATCCTTAGTAATTATTGATATGTTAAGGACTTACTACTGCCATTTTGTTAATTGTTTTCTGATTGTTTTTTAGCTTATTTGTTTTTTCTTCCTTTCCTGTTTATCGTTGTGATTTAGTGATTTCCTTTAGTGCTAAATTTTTGTTCTTTTATCATATATCTGCTTTAGTATTTTGCTTTGTGGTTACCATAAGGCTTACATAAAACATCTTATAGTTATAATAGACTACTTTATACTAATAACAACTTAAATTCAGTTGCATACAAAAACTCTAGATGTCTACCCTCCTGCCAGCATGTGTGTATATACACATATAGTGTATATATAATTTTATATTCATATGTACATATATATATTTCCTTTTTTACCTTTCTAAATTGGGTGCAATGAATTAATATTTTTTAATGTCACAATTTATATCACTTTAGATTACTTATTTCTTAATACTTATTGTGGTGATCATTATTTTTGACTGTTTTGAATTTTAACCTTCATCCTACATTATATATACATATAATTTGCAGAGTGCCATAGCACTATTGGGGTATTCTGGATTTGATTATATATCTATCTTCACCAGTTAATTTTGTACTTTTACATGTTTTCATATTAGTAATGTTCTTTTTTTCTATTTGAAAAACTTCCTTAAACATTTTTATAGAGGAGCTTTAGTAGTGAGGAATTCCCTAACCTTTTTCTTTTCTGGGAAAGATTTTATTTTTTCTTTTATTCTGATGGAGAGCTTTGCTGTGTATAACATTTTTGGCTGACAGTTTTTTGTACATCAGCACTTTGAAGAGATCATCCCATTCTCTCCTGGCCTGCAGGATTTCTACTGAGAAATCTGCTGATAGTCTAATGGAGATGCCCTTGCATGTAACATGATATTTTTATCTTGCTGCTTTTAATATTCTTTTAATTATATTAAAAGAATTATATTCTTTTAATATACATGTCTTTTGTTTTTGACAGCTGATTATAATGTGCCTCAGAGGGGACCTCTTTGGGTTGACTCTGTTTGAAGATTTTTGAGTTTCATGTATCTGGATGTTCATGTCTTCCAAGACTTGAAACATGTTATTTTTCATTTATCGAAAATTTATATTCATTAATTTTAAAGGTTCTCTATTTTTGTTTAAAAAAAATCTATATTGTCCTTTTATTTTTTGAACATATTAATCACAATTTAGACTCATTTTTGTGAATTCCAATACACTTCTTGGTTCTATTTATGTTCCCTGTTGTTTTGCTTGGTTTTTATGATTTTCAGTAAATTCTTATTTTCAATATATTTATTTATTTTTGTTTGAATACTAGGCATTGCATATTCAAAATTTTAGAGACAATTAGAGGATGTTATGTGATTTTCCTCCAGATAATATATTCTTTGTTTTGGGTAGGGAAATAGGCAAGAATAAAGGTTAGGAGAAATTCATCTATATTCAGTTGGGATGAAGTAATTGAAATCTAGGTTTCAGTTCTTTGGAGAACTGACCTTTTACAAATGACCATTTATTTTAGAATGTATTATGCTTTAGATACGTGAAAACAATTTTCTATTTATTTTGATACAGTAAATAAGTTCTGTTACCAGCACCTTCTAGGTACATTTTTCTTGTTCTTAGTTGGCTGAGTGAGCTAGATCTTAACCTATAGTTAGGGAGGAAAGATTGTCTCATTGGCCCTTCACTGTTCACCAGAAGCAGCAATGCTGATTTATATTCCCATTATTTCTTGGCAGTATATTCAAGAATTGGGTCCCTTGAGAGAGATTAGCTTATATGCCCATTACTTTTTGGCAGTATATTCAAGAGTTGGATTCCTTGGGAGAAAAGAGGATAACAAGAAGGTTGCTGATATGTCAATATGAGACATCTTACTTTTTCTATTGTCTCTTTGACTCAATTTTGCAAGATAATGTGAAGAGTGTGAATGACTTTCAAGGTCTACTTGGTCAAGTCACTTTGGCTATTACTGTTGAAATGCTGATGTGCCTATACATATAGCTACTAATATTGATTGAGGGAGACCCCTTACTGCAGAAGTGGTGGCCTTGCTGAGTGGAAAAACCTCATTCTTGACTCCTAATAGAAAAGATTGAACTTGTGGAACGGGGTAGAGGCTCTTGAAGGGAGGACTGCAGCTCTAAAGCTTGTGAAGATATTTGACAACATGCTTAATAGGATACATTTAACTGGTTGGAAAGGATAAGCTTTTTTTGTGTTCACAGCAAGCAAAGATGATTATAATCCAATATTAGTTTTAAAATTGGAGCTTGTGCTGAAGCATCATGCTCCTGGGGGCAGAGTTGATTGCTTGTAGAAGACTTCTATTACCAATCTTAGTGATCCTTAGAAAACTATTTCTTAAATTATTTTTCCCTTGATTACTAATTTAATATGGATACAAGCACCAAGAGTCCTTCTTTGTGGTGTCATTATCTCTTACAAATCTCATTTTCCTTTCAGATATTATCAGACGCGACACAGCCTCTTGAAAGTCAAAATTTTTCTCCTGTGGTGAGAGACGTAAGTTACGAGAATATCTTTTTCATAAATGTATTTTTTTTCTACTACCATTTGTGCTCTCCTCTTTCTCTCTTTCTCCCTCTCTCCATCTTTGCCATTCTGTCATGAGACCATGTTTGTAGGACTAAAATGTAAATACTAAAATGTCTTGTGTCATATACATTTAGGCAGTGATTACATCCAACGGTACATTACCGGATAAATATAAATATATCCAGAAACTCCGGGAAAGCAGGTAAGTATTGATCACATCCTCTTGTTTTATACATTTATTCTTATCTGGGAATTGATGAGTATTTTTAATGCTTTAATGAGAGTTCTTAATATTAGGTTTGTGCAATATATAAATTTTGATAATGTTTGAAAATGTAGGAAATCCAAACTAAGTGGCTGGCTGAAACCACTGTGGCTGTTTCCCCCTAAACAGTAGTATAGCGTAATTTTGGCTTTCTAATATCCTATGCAGATGTGTGGGTAAGCAAGCAAAAATCCAAAAGGATTGTCCTTTAGGTAGCTTCTTGTTCTTTCTCCAGCTTTTTATGCATGGCCATGCCTCGGTTATTTTCTCAAAAGGAAAATAAGCACACTAACCTTTCCGTGGTGCTTTCAGTTGAGGGTTTGGACTCTCTTTTGTTTAATATAATGTTTAGGAGAGTGAATTCGTGGTTACAAATTAAGAGAGTAGTGAATAAACAATTGATGAAAATAAGAGGTAGTTTTCTCCAGGGATTCTTCTTAGGGGGAAGATGCCAAAAAGTAATGTAGCGAATCTACTCAAGAGAATAGTTACCTTAGAAAGGTCCTTAGCTAAGGCCCTTGTTTCCTTAATTGATTTTAGTATTTAAAGTTTGAAAACATTGATTTTATTTTTTTGGAATGTTCCAGTCTCCTCCAGCTGATTGTCCTTGATCCATGTTTATATCTACTCTGCTGGTCTATTCACATTAAAACAGGAATGCATTGAAGTCTCAGGAGAAACCAGAGTTGGGGAAACAAAGCAACACAACACAACTGTCTTACCGTCTTTTTCAGTGTTTCCACCTACAAGCAGTAAACAAAGAGATCTGCCCAGATCAAGCCTACTATACTTAGAACTTTTCCATATGTGCTGGTGTGATTATAATTACTTTTACTTTATTTTTTAAAAGTGTTTAATTTTTTCTGAGATAGAGTTTCACTCTTGTTGCCCAGGCTGAAGTGCAATGGCGTGGTCTTGGCTCACTGCAACTTCCAATTCCTAGGTTCAAGTGATTCTCCCACTTCAGCCTCCCTAGTAGCTGGGATTACAGGTGTCCGCCACCACACCCAGCTAATTTTTATATTTTTAGTAGAAACGGGGTTTCACCATGTTGGCCAGGCTGGTTGCAAACTCCTGACCCCAGGTGATCCACCCACCATGGCCTCCCAAAGTGCTGGGATTACAGGCATGAGGCACCATGCCTGATCGATTATAGTTACTTTTGAATGTGTCAGTGAAATATTCTGGCATAAGATACTAAGTATTTAATTTTTTTTTTTAAGAGAAGCTAGCTCTATAACCCTACAGGAGAGTTTCTTATGGGTAAAAACTTCATATCTGTTTGTTTTTCATAGCTCTGTTTTGATTCTCATTATCCGATGGTCTTTTATACTACTGATACTAATGACATGTCCAACATGACTGGTTGTGATGGTATCTTCTCTCTTATGTGTCATATTTCATGTAGCAGCAGGTTTACTTGGCTCCAGTTGCTAGGACTTGCTGCCCTCTTTCCCTGATTTAATCTTGTGCCAATATACTGATAGCAAAGGTTGCATTTTGAAAGAAATTTACTGTGTATTGAACCCTGCCTTATTCTTCTGTTCTTTTCATTACTTAGCATAGTGATTATTAACCTGGAGTCTGGGGTCTGGGGATACTGATGGGCTGGACAGTATTAGAATCTAGGAGTGAGTGTCTGTTTTGAGTGTTTGGTATTTGGACATAAAAATAATGTTTTAATTATACAAATGATAGAAAATAATGTTAGACAGAATATATAATAACCAAATAATAGTGGCTCTCTTTGGGAGGTGAAATGGGATAACAGTACTAGTTAAAGGAGACCTCTTCACATCAGTAGTATGTATGTTGGGGGTATAGAGGGACAGGATCTTTTATACTTAATTGTTTTTTAATTTATTTAAAATTAATGAAAATGTTTGTGGGTTAACATTCGAGAGACATTAAAAGACTAAAGAGTCTAAATTACAGAGCATACTTCAGTTCAGGGCACCAGACCTTTTCCATGGTTTTGTGTTGATATCAGAGAATTTGATTCAAAAAATATTTAATGAGTAAATTCCATATTTAAGACAAAATGTGCTGAACATTAATGGGTTTGTAAAGATGGGTAAGTCTTAGATGCTGCCTTTGAGGTCATAGTTTGTGGGAAAGAAAGTCATCTGTCCAGAAGGTATTAATATAAATCCAGCAGAATAAACTGTTCAAGAATTAAAATAATATCTAACACTAGTCTTTGGTTTCTATATTTAACCCATGACATTTGTGATTCAAAGTCATGGTTTTGACTATTTTCAAGTGACCCTAAAGATACATGACAAAACAATGATGAATAATAATAATCTCTTCCTCAAAGTGTTGTCTTCTGGGATTGTAGTGAGGAATAAATAAAGTTTCTAAGATAAAGCCCCTAGCATGATTTTGAATCACATCTTCTGGAAGGATAAAATACTCAGTCATAAGTAAGCCAAGAAAAGGTCCAGCATCTGTACTTTACTAGTAATACTGGGAATTCATGAAATACATGTATACATGTCTAGGTATACATCTCATAGATGTCAGGTCTATTGCTCTTCATTGCACAAAATGTAAAATAATTAAAGAGATATGTTGGTATAGGGGACTCATCATATTGAGATTCTTATTTTAAGTAATATGGAGAGAAATTGTTGCTTCATTATCTGGATTTTAGTATGGTTAGAGGACAGCAAGATTCTGTTTTTTAAAAACAATAAAATTTTAATTAGTCCCTTCTCTTCTTTTTATTTTATTTTATTTTAATAGGGAACGTGCTCAGTCACTTTCAATGGGCACCAGGAAAAAGGTTTTGGTTCTTGGATCTGGCTATGTATCTGAGCCCGTACTAGAATATTTATCAAGAGATGACAATATAGAAATAACAGTAGGTAAATATGCCCTAGTTTTTGAAGAAGAAAAATATATTTTATAACATGTTGTTTTCTAAATTTTAGAAGACTACTTAGTTTCTAAAATTTGAAAGTTTATTTTTGGAGATGTTAAAATATATTTTACTCTGACATATCTAAAAATGTGACTTTTAATTCTTGAAATAGGCTCTGACATGAGGAATCAAATTGAACAGTTAAGGAAGAAATATAATATCAATCCTATTAGCATGGACATTTGTAAACAAGAAGAGAAGCTGGGCTTCTTGGTGGCAAAACAGGATCTTGTTATCAGGTCAGTATCTGGCAAGAAATGAGTTTCATTTTTTTGTTGTTATTTCTTTTGTCTTATTTTTCTCTTTCTTTTTCTTTTCTCCTCTCTTCATACTCTTTGTAAGTAAACTTTTTAATTCAAGTATGGATCCAGAAGATGCACAAATCATAAGTATATAGCTCAAGGAACTTTCACAAAGTGAATACACTCTGTGACAATCATTCATATCAAGAAGCAGAATAGTAATAATTCCCCAGAAGCCCTCCTGGTGCCTCACTTAACCCATCCTCTAAGGGTAAACACTATCCCGGCTTCTGACATATAGTTTTGCCTGCTTTCAAACTTCATATAATTGGAATAATTCAATATGTCCTCATTCATGGCTGCCTTCTTCCATTCAATGTCGTGATTATGAGAGTCATTTATGCTATTGTCGGAAATGATAGTTTATTCATTCTCATTGCAGTGTAGTATTTCATTATGTGAATATACCATTATTATTTATTTGAGTACTATGGATATTTAGGTTGTTTCTGGATTTTGGTTATTATAAGTCACACTGCTATATACATTTCAGTATTTGACTTTTGGTGACCATTTCACCAAAACAGTAATTACACATTTCTGTTGGATATATACTTAGAAGTGGGTTTGCAGGTCATAAGGTATTCATGTTTCATATACTTCAGTGTCTGTTTTATCCTTTGAACTTATAAAATTAAAATGAAAAAGTAGATTATTTAGCCTTACGACCATTTTAAGTCTCATCATAGCAACAAATCTTGAAATAAAGTATAACTAACAAAAATGCAGATCTAACATTTAGATACAGAGTTGCATCAGATTTACTATATAACTAAATTTGGTTTTGACATGAGTACATATGAACACAAAGAAAGGTAACAACTGACATCAGGGCCTACCTGAGGGTAAAATGTGGGAGGAAGGTGAGGACCAAAAAACTACCTGTCAGGTACTATGCTTATTACCTAGATAATGAAATAATCTGTGCGCCATACTCCCATGACATATGGTTTACCTATATAACAAACCTGCACATGTACCCCTGAACCTTAAAATAGTTAATAAATAAACACATTTGGTTTCGAGATGTCAAAGTGATGAGAATAGTCATTAATTCTTAGAATATAATTTCTCCAGATGAGAGAAAGAAAGTTGTCTGTTTTCTCATAATGAGTACCTAGTCACTTTCATAGATCAGATTCAAATTGTATCTTTGGAGGAAGTTCTGTGATGTTCTGCTTTGAAAAAAAAAAAAAAGCAAGGTTGGAAAACATGTAATGAAAGGCAGTTCTGTAGGCTGGCATTTTTACATTGTCTCTTGCCTTTTGATATCTTTAAACACAGGCTCACTTCATGCACATAAAATGTTACTTAATTTATAAAAATTTTATAAATTAATTTTTATTTAGAAAAAGTTAATTAATGACCAACTGACCCTCTCTGATATCACTATGGAAAGAAATCCTGATTCAGAATAGAATAATCTAGGCTTCTGAGTAGAACAATAATTTATTTTACCACACGTAGGTACTTAAATATATCACTTTTTAATTTTTTAAAAAAGTAAATAACATGATAAAATGCATTTGAAACAAAATTTGAAATAAAACATGACAATATAATGGACAAAGACGTCAATCTATTTATATGTGCAAATATTAAAATTTAGCAAGCAAGTGGACTTCAATAAGATTTGGCATTAGCAAAATCTGTTTTATATTTAATGTTTTCTCATTTAGTGCATTTTCTATGCTGAATAATAGTAATGCCATTAAACAGTGTTATCCTATAGTGTTCCTTAAATATATATATATATATATTTTTTGAGACAGTCTCATTTTGTAAAATTCTCATAGTTTTAATTTTTCAAATTTAACTTTTAACAATGTAATACAAAGTAGTAATTGATTTCAATGTTGCTTTGAAAATTCCCCATGTATTTTATGTATATTTTTCACAAGTGACATTTTCAACCTTTTGGAGTAATTGGGTTGGAGTCAGCTTAAATAACTTAAGAGTATGTCCCACTGAGGGCTTGCTTACTATATCACATTCAAGATGAATTATGAACTTTAATCCCTTTGTCTAAAAAGGTACCATCAAGTAAAGACCTACCATTATATTTCTTACCCTATTCTTAGGCCAAAGTTTTAAAATATTATTAGATCTTAGCAAATTTTGATTGAGCAAGTTTGATATGGAGAATGTGTTTTAAAAATTTCTACTTAACATTTAAGATGATGACATTGTAGATTTTCTATTAATATTTGATTCAAATAGTTTTGCAAAGTATTTTGCTCAATGGTTTCTAAAAGTCTACTAAATTTGTTAGCAGTAATTCTTTTTGGATTAAAACACCAAAAACACAGAGACCTGGAGCTCTTGATACTGACAATAGCAGTACCTGATTCTATTGACCTGAAGAGGAATAAATGCCTGAAAAGTGGTTTTATTGTTTATTTTGTTTTTGATGATCTAGAGAAAATATGAAGTACGTAGAATGAATTTGACAAGTACAATGATGCAGTGTGATATTGTTTATATTGGTTTTTATTTTATTTTTTTTGTTGGTATTGTAGACAGCTTTACCAAATAGGCAAAAAGAAACAACTTAAATATTGTCATGTAATTGACAGGGTATTTTATTGTTCCTAGAATAGAATATGGAAATACTTATATAACACTCATATTTATGAAAATTTAATTTCTTATGATTATGCAGTCCCAGCACCAAATTATAACACCAAAGCCACATTTGTTGAAAAACTAATCTACAGCATCATCTGTTGTTCACCATGTGGATTTTTAGCCATTTTGATAGCCTTTACATTGACACCTGATCCACTCCAGTCTCTGGAGTCGCTGGGACTACAGGCGTGTGCCAACATGCTGGATTAGTTTTTGTGTTTTTTGTAGAGATAAGGTTTCATCATGTTGCCCAGGCTGGTCTTGACTACTGGGCCCAACCAATCCACCTGCCTTTGGCCTCCCAAAGTGCTGGGATTATAGGCATGAGCCACAGCACCCATTGTCAAGCCAATATTAATGGGCATGTCGGTTGATTCCATGTCTTTGTTACTGTGAATAGCGCTGTGATGAACATGTAAGTGCATATGTCTTTTTGGTAGAATGATTTACTCTCCTTTGGATAAATACCAGTAATGCAATTGCTAGGTCAAATGATAGTTCAACTCTTAGTTCTTTGAGAAATCTTTGAACTGCCCTCCATAGCAACTGAACTAATTTACATTCCCACCAACAGTGTATAAGTGTTCCCTTTTCTGAGAGAATAATTTAATCAGGACAGTACCTTAAGATGCAGCTTTAATAGGATTCAAGTACATTGGAAGGTAGGGTTGAAAAAGGAAGTTTCTGATTAGTTTCTTCCTGTTTTTAAGCTTGTTGCCGTATGTATTGCACCCTCTTGTGGCCAAGGCTTGCATCACAAACAAAGTTAACATGATCACTGCAAGCTACATCACACCAGCACTAAAAGAATTGGAAAAAAGGTAAGTTTAAATCGTTTTGAACAAACTGAGTGGATCCACGGCATTGTTTTTATTTTATATCCTAGTTTTTTTTTTAATCCTCTTTCCACCTGCTGCAGTGTGGCAGATGCTGGCATCACAGTCATTGGTGAATTGGGATTGGACCCTGGTCTGGATCACATGTTAGCAATGGAAACAATAGATAAAGCCAAGGAAGTGGGAGCCACGGTGAGCCCAATTTATACTCAAAGGGAAACATTAAAATGTCTAACTTCTTGTGTACAGAAATAATCTTTCTTTAACTTTGATTAAAGATGCTGCTATATTATAACTCATTCTTTCAACAGAAATTTTAAATAAAATCTTATAACTGCCAAAATATCCATATAGGAAAACATTGTCAAAGTCTTAGGTAGCAGCCAATTTTTGGAGAAACAGATGCTACTATAAAATTTTGGCTTAATACAAATTTTAGACTACCTCAAAGATTCTGTAATAAGGTTTGACTTTTAAAAGTGAGAAGAATCTTCGGGTATTAGCAGTCTGTTGATATGAAGTATCTTTCACACATAACAAGGTACTATTGGGTGTAAATGGCATGATTCAGATTAAGTGTTTTGGGTTTTTTGAATGCGTGTGTATATATATGTGTGTATTCAAATCATATTTGCATATATGATTTATGCAAATATATAAATTTCATTTATGTGTATTCAAATTATGTGAATATTATAAACATGCAAATACATAATTAAAATTTTATATATGCAAATATATAATCTGAATACAAAAATTAGTAGGAACCGACCAAACAGTATTGAACTAATAGTTGAATTTTTAACTGAACAAAATGTTATTATTTTTAGAGGAATATATATATATATATATATATATATATATATATATATAAAATCAACTGTTATTTAATCAAATGATATATGACTTTAAGGATGTATTTTTGAAAGCTTTAGTAACTTTAAGAATGAAGAACTGTAGCAAGTTTACTCCATTCATATCATTGTCTTCAATTAATTACTTAAATTCTCTAACTTGTTGTGAATTCTTCCTTATTTGTGGATTCTTTAATTTACAGATTGAATCATATATTTCATACTGTGGTGGACTTCCTGCTCCTGAACATTCAAACAATCCATTGAGATATAAATTTAGCTGGAGTCCAGTGGGAGTTTTGATGAATGTAATGCAGCCTGCCACCTATCTGCTCAATGGAAAGGTGAGGAATCTCATCCAAGCATAGTGATATCAACCTGCAATAACCACCTGAGGCAGTCTAAATACTCCCTGATTCCAAACCCTTTAATAATGGCGATACTGACTCTCTCTGTTCTCTCCTCTTGTGGTATTTCCCAGTGCATATTTTTTGTTCTGTTTAGCACAGTCTCCTTGCTGTTCCTGCAAAGCCTGTGCTTATTCTTCCCAGGCCTTCTTGCAAGTTGTTTCTGATACTCAAAAATTCACTTCTCTATATATGTAAACACTGGTTATCTCTTGATTTATTTCAGCATGACAAACATTTTCTGAGTGCCTACTATGTGCTGGACTTTGGACAAGTTTCTCAAGACTGTCACAGAGAATGAAGTCCGTGACCTCAGAAAACTCACAGCTAGATTGGGGATGGGGTTTAGCTCTTGGAATGGAGGGTTTGGTGTGTTGGAGAGAGAAACTACAATTTCTTCCCCAGCTGCCATGTAACAGAACATAAGGACTCTCCGAGTTTAGTATTACTTTCATATTTTTACAATAAGAAAGCTGTGGCTCAGAGAGCGTGTATGTCCAAGGTTATTTGGCTGAGATTCAAACCCAGGTCTAACTCTGAAGGCTTTTTTTCTGCTTTGCCAGATTGCTTAATGGCTGTAATAAGTGGGAATAAATGACTATAATCTAATGGGAAAATGTCCAAAGTATGTTAGAAGTGCTTCAGAGGTACAGATGGGAGGACAGTTTAATTGGTCTTGGTGAAGCGGTTAGGGGAAGGAGAGTGGGGAGAAGAAAAACTAATGAAGAAAGAGGATGTGATTTGGCCTTGAAGGATAAGAAGGTGCCAGCTAGGCAGGGATGTTAGCATTCATGGTATGACAGGTGTATAAGGTGAAAAAATCAGGTTTAGGGAGTTAGGATAACAGCTACACTTAAAAACATGGCAAGTGGCACGGCCAGTATCCAAATCACATCTCTCTGAGTTAACAGTTTGTGCTCATAGTTTGGAGAAAAAATGTAATGAGACTCAGAGCGCGTCTTTGAATTGTGTGTTGTAGGCACCTCACTCACCTTGCCCTATGGGAGTGATGAGTAATGTGATCAGATAGATGTATTTTAAAAAGATTATTCTAGCCTCAATATTACACATTGTCAATGTATTTATGAATCAAAATGTATTTCAGGAGTAGAAGGAAAGAATTTCTTGAGCAACAAGGTAAATGCCATTATTAGCCATCGTCTTTTGTGCCTATGATACAGAGCATGACTCATACTTAGCCGTACCTTGGAATTACAAAAGGAATTTAAAAAGTATTGATGCCTGGGCCTTATCCCCTAAAATTCTGATTTGCCTGGGTTTGGAGATTTTTTTAATCTTCGAAGCAAGTCTAGTATGAAGCTGAATCTGAGAACAACTGATTTAATGATCAGAGAACTGTAGTTGCACTTAAAATAGTACTAAATAATCAGGAACTTTAGTTTGATGCTAATGATATGTAACATATTTCAGGATAATAAACAGGATCAATGAGTTCTGGTCCAATTGCTGGCATTCACCGTAACATAGCCAAAGACCAGGCCGTTGAAAAGATCCACAGAATGTCAGTTTCCTGATGTGTAATGTGAGCACTGATGTTCCACCAATTCTTCAATCCTGTGAATCATGAAGGTTTGGAGCAGAATCTTAGTCTGATGTTTCGCCAACCACACATCCTTTTACGTGCTTCAGCCTGTCTCCTATTGCATTCCAACAGCTCCTTTTACCTTCTGCAATCTTAAGAGACTGGCCTATGTTTGGTATAATTAACATGTGAAGGCAGGACGGATTATTACTTCAGTTGAATAAAACACTTATTTTTAGGAGGCCTTATAAATGCTAAAGATGGTAGTAATGAAAGGGCCAGCAGAGTGCAACCCATGTAAAAGAAAGACCGAGGAACTTGGTATCTGTGGGCCTGGCTTTGTGCTCTAGCTCTGCCATTGCTGGTTGTGAGCTGTGGGTTCCTCGTCTGAAGAGAAGGACAATCATGCTAGCTTCCAGGGTTCTTACTCAGTGAGGTTATTTAGATTGCAATCTGCCTAACAGCAGATTGCCAGGCATGTAATCCATCTAGCAAACATTAGCTATATAAGGAAATTATGGTTGTGAGAGCTTAAGAAAAGCAAGAGGTTATTTTCAGGTAGCCGAAGTTGTATTTGTTGAATTTGAAGTTCTCCTCTTTCATCCTAAACTTATTTTGTAAAAAGGAGTGCTTTTTGCATCTCCCTGACGCTGTGGAGGATACCAAAAGAAAACATGACACTTTTCTTTTCTTTGCTAAAATGATACTTTTTTCAAGGTCCCACTTGCGTTTCCTCTTGTGGATGAAGCTTTTCGTGACCACTCCAGCCTCTGTTCACTATTATTTTGTCTGAACTGAATCAAAGTGTCAGACACTTTGTTTGTCTGTGTCTAAGAATTTTCTAGATGCTGCATTATTCACTCTGTAATTCAAGTGTATCAGTCTGTTTCCTAAGCCAGATTGTTAAACAACTTAAAACCTCTCTTGTATTCTTGCCCTTCACTCCCTCTGCCATCATCACCCTCCACCATGGAGCAGGTATTAAATGATTCACAGAAATCACAGTGGGGGAAAACAAGGCACCTCTCTGGACTTTTACTTAAAATTAAAGCCTTAAACTTTTCCAGAAATTGGGCAGTGGCCTATGTATTAGGACATATCTCATTATCTTACATCTTTGCAGTAATTACTAGCAACTTGTTCTATTTCTAACTTCTAATCTGATTCCTAACAATTCTGATTTTCTTCCACATATTCAGAGATGGTGATGTCATCTTCTCTTAGTTGAATTCCCCTTACAAGTGGTAGTGTACTTTCTCACACTGGTGGCATTTGGGAGTGACATGGCAGAGTTTTACCATCACCTTCTGCAATATTTCCCAGTCTAACCTGGCAAAACATATATTCTAAGTGAGAAGCATGCTTGCTCTGCAAACATAGTTTTAAGATAAGTTTTCTAGCCCTCTATCCGTTGCCTACCACCACCTTGACTGCAGCACCCAGCCCCTTGGAAATCAAGAGCTACCACTATCTTCCTTTGCCTGTACCCATTCTTCATGCGTCTTTCAGGTGCATCCCAGGTGGCCTAATCTGGAATGCTGTTCTTTGTCAATATCCCTTTCAAAATACTGATCCAGAAATAAGCATGATTAAGGGGACAGTTTAGTAGAAGAAACACAGACATTGCAGTCAAATAGAACTGGGTTCAAATTTGCCTTTGGGTGACTCAGCCTCAGTTTTCACCTCTGAAAAATGGGTTATTTTATGGATTAAATATAATGTGTATAAGGCACTGGGCACATAGTGGGCCCTGAAGAAATGATTGTATATTTCCTTATTCATTTAGTAATCAAGTTCACTGTGATTATTTGAATATATATGATATACTTATTTAAATATAGCAGTGATTCACTATAGTTGGGAGATGTATATTTGTGTTGGTCTCTGTGTGTGTAAAAGAGTTGGACCTAGAGAAGCTTGCAACAGCAGTGAATAATGAGCCTGAGCATTGTGAGAGCAGAAAGAAATGCATGTTCTCTGTAAAACAGACAAATATGTCTTTCTGTCTTCAATCACATTATTAATAAAATGTTAAACAAGAAAGAATTTATTATTGAACTATATGATATACCACTACAAATACAACTATGAATTAATACCAAATGACAATGATTACCCAGTAATTTTTGGGTCAGTTTGGTTAGCTAACTGCCAACCTCACTAAATGAATTATTGCCATTCAACTTACATTTCTCCATCTTCAATGTAAGGTTTTCATGATAAATTTATGAACTAGCTGTTTTATTTCTGGTTGATAAGTTAGAATATTGTGGTCTTTATTGAATTTTTCTTTAAGAAATTTTCCTGACCTTCAAACAAGCAAACAAACCTTAAGAATTATAGATTATAGAAATGAGATGGGTGTGAAGACCCTAAAGGTCAACATTTGCTTTTTTGTTTTTTAAGAGGTGGTATCTTGCTGTGTTGCTCAGGCTATTCTCAAACTCCTGGGCTCAAGCCATCCTCCTGCCTCAGCCTCCCAAGCCAAGTAGCTGGGATTACAGGTGTGCATCACCATGCCCAACATTTGCTTTCTTAGATTTTTCTTCAAAAATTTAGAATTCTATTAAATACATTGGTTTTTAAGAAGTAGAATAAAAACTATCCCTTTGGAAATGTTTACTCTGCAGTCTAGAAGGGTTTACAAGAAAATTAAATGAAAGGCATTCCTTACATCCTTCATTTAGATTTTCACTCTAAAAATTTTAAATTTGGAGAGAGTGCTTGGCACTCTCCACGTAAGGCATGAGAATCATTACGTTTAGCCAAAGGCCTCTTCAGGAAATCCTGTGAATCCACCTTAAAGTATATTGGCAGCTCCCTGGTATAGTGTTATTTTGTTCAGCTTTAGAGAAATTGGTCAGGCATCATGCTATCTGACTTCAAACTATGCTACAAGACTACGGAGAAATTGATCAGAAATTGTTTCCAGTGTACAATAAAGATAAAATTCAGTTCCACCAGCAGCACCAACCAGAATTTTCAGACCTAATTTTATCATTCCAGAATGCTTTCCATTATCTCAACAATAATAATAAGCCTCATAAATGAAAAGAAAATTTAGTTCTTTAAAATTAGAGACAAAGAAATCCTGCATTGCATTTTGAGTCTGTGTGATGGGGTTAGGGGTATAGGAGATAAGTACTGAGATATCAAAAGATTTTTACTTCATCACTCATGTTATTGCCTTCACAATTTGTGTGACCCGTGACACATGGATCACTTTCTTCTGCTCATAAATGTTAGCTGTATGAATGAAATGTATGTGACTGGTGCCTAATGCGGCGTTCAGAAGGGTCGTAAAATTAGAAAAAAGAAAAGAATGAGAATATTGATTGCTGTTTGAACATAGAAGCCATTTAAACAATTATCTGTTGCTTCTAGCTTATCTTTTTAAGTTTATTTTAAAAATATTTTTATATAAAATACTTTACATAAAATAATAAATGTTTATTTTAATCATTTTTAAACATTAAAAAATAAAAATTAAAAAAATTAAAAATGTTTAAAATTCTTTTTTTTAAATGTTTATATTTTTTTAAAAAGGCAAACTCTAGCGGGAAATAATTTAGTGCCATTTTATCCAAGGGAAGGAAAAAAATGAAAATAAGACTATGTTTAGAAAAACTAAACCCTTTAAAGTGAAATTTTAAAGTTTGAGAGAAGAATTGCATTGTGAATTATGATATTAGTAGAACAGCTTAAGTATAGGATGATGACTATGGTGGTTTCATTATTTTTTTTCAAATTTCTATTGCTTTCTCTGTTCACACAAAGCAGATAAGTCCTAACAGAAAGGAATGGCTCTTAACCCCATGTGTGCCTTCTCAATGTTCCTCAGGTCGTGAATGTTGCAGGGGGCATCTCCTTCCTTGATGCCGTGACGTCCATGGATTTTTTCCCAGGATTAAATTTGGAAGGCTATCCTAACAGAGACAGTACGAAATATGCTGAGATTTATGGCATTTCTTCTGCTCACACTTTGTTGCGGGGGACACTGAGATACAAGGTAAGCAGCTGGACTTTAGATTCAACACGTTGCCAGTTTTGATGTAAGTGATGTATACACTTTATTTTTCTTAGTAGCCAAAATAATGAAGATGATAAACCAAGTTGGAGTCTACTTTTTCAGGAATCTTATGATTGAATATTTTAGAAGACTCACCTCAAAATAAAAAGATAATTTATTGACTCATTAGGAGTTGGAGACAGGCAGGGCTTTAGGCTCAGTGAGATTTGTAAGTCAAGTGACTTCCCCAGGACCTGATTTCTTGTAACCTCTCAGCTCCTCTTTCCAGTATTCACTGGAGTCTCAAGTGTTATGCCATGGCAGAGTGCCGGCAGCAACCCCAGCCTCTCAGATTCAAATTCAATGGAAATAAAAATGATATCCTTCTAATAGCTAAAAATACAATTTTTGTCTCATTAGCTGGAAATGATCCCCAATATCAGTGTGATAAAATGTGCCTATCTACTTTGTTCTATGTTATATGTCCCTAGAAGTAGAGGTTGAGTCAGTGTCATTGGAAACACATAGACCGGGTATGGGGGAAACAGACGGGATGAAAGGGGCTTCCCAGAGCTAATCCAACATGCTTTTAAACCACAAAATGGGGAGTACATTCTAGGAGCATAAATGCAAATGCTCACTACACATTTATTGATCACAAAAAAAGCGGTTATAAGTGTGACCAAATCCAGACAACTGATATATTAGTTTTCTAGCTGAATAAATTATCCCAAACTGGATAGCTTGAAACAATAGGGATTTATTCTCTCACCATTCAGGAGGCCAGAAGTCTGAAATCAAGGTGTGTGTGAGGAGGGTTGGTGCCTTTTGGAGGCTTGACTTTGAGACATATCCATCCAATTTGTGCCTCAGTTTCATATCTCCTTCTTCTGTGTATCTCACTGTGTTGCCTCCTCTTATTAGGGCACAGTCATTGGACTCAGGTTTTACCCTAAAGCCAGGTTGATTTCATATTGAGGTCTTTAACTAATTATATCTGCAAACATTCAAGCGAGGCCATATTCTGAGGCTCTGGATGGCCATGAATTTGGGGGACAGGATACTAAACTCAACCTAATGTAACCAGCATACCTAAAATATATGTCTCTCAAGATCAGAGACCTGATTGCAAATCCCTCTATCCTGTGAGATTTCCTAGCTAAGGCCAGAGAAGGGATTTGTCTCATGTGTGTTACTAGTATTCTCTATTTTTTTTTATCTGGAAGATATAAAGTACACGGGCCTGTTAGTGATGACTCTTCAATCTTGTGTCTGCTTTTCTGTTGCTTTCTTATCTTTTTTACTGGCTGTTCCTTTTGCCTGGAAATTTTCCTCCAGATATTTGCATTATCCTCCTTCAGGCCTTGTTCTTTTCTTCTTTGCCACCCTGCCTCTGGTAACCACAGTTTTATTCTCAGTCTCTACATATTTCAGTTTCTTAAAAAGATTCTGCATGTAAGTGAGATCATGCAGTATTTTACTTTTCATGTCTCACTATTCCACTTAGGACAAGGTCTTCCAGATTCATCCTCCTATCTATTCTTAAAAAGCAAACAGCTGCTCTATTTCTTACTTGTGAGAGCTTCTGTTACATGTACGGGCACTTAGCATTTACTTCTGTGCATTTTAAGTTATAATTTTATGTGTATTTTTCTTATCTCCCAAATAGATTGTAAGCTCCCAAAGAACAGGTGCTTGTACTCTTATGAATATAATTTTCTCATTGTCCAGGAATCAAATGAGACACCAGTGATAATGTCCTACTGAGATCTAGGAGCTGTGGCTCTTCTACCACCCTTTTGGCACAGTAGAAATTCTAGTCTGAATTGATGAATACAATCCCAGCTCTGGCAAATTTCTTAATATATTTTCTTCGATTCATTCAAAAAGAAAAAATGAGTAATAACTGTTTTTTGTCCAGCAGTTAGGATAGTCTTTTGCCAAACATATAGATACAGCCTATATGTATAGTCTTTTGCCAAATTCTTCATCCAGGAATGAAGAATTTTAATAAATTTCAACATTGAATAAAGATCTCAGCAAGGCATGTGAGTGAGAGCCAACCCCATAGATTCCCTGAGGATGGAAGATATCACAGTGCTCATAATCATGAAGTCCAACATCCTGGGCAATGCCAGCAACCCACTGGTAACCTCAATATTCTTTCCAGTATTGGAGATGAGATACCATCATTCAAGTGTGACAGAGAGGCCTTGGCTACTCTGCCTGCCTATCCCCTGCTTGTCCTTCTAGATGCAGCTTAATAGCACCTTCACATGGTATCCTCCCTAACTCCTTCCCCTTGAACCACCCACTCCCATTTATGTGAGTTCCCCTTTCTTGGTGCTCCCACAGCTATGTTTTCCTCTAACCTAGAACCTTGTAATAAAATACTCTACTCTAGTATAGTCATCAGTGGTCATGCATTTTTGCTCATCATGGACTAGGCATTATTGGCTTGACTTAGCTGACCTTTTCATTGACTACAGATTCTGCATGGGTGGGACTGCATTTTGTTCATCTCTGTGGCCTCAGTCCCTAGCACAAGTCTGACATATGGCAGCAGTTTGCTAAATGCTGACTGATGAATAAATACATAAAATAAATACATTTCTAGGGGTCATCATAAAAATGTATTTCTGAGATTAATAAATAGCTCATAAATAAGTATTTTAGGTGTTGGATAAAGGGATCGCTAGCACCTATCAGGTCCCAGAAGCAAGCTAAACAAGCTAGTAATATTACTTTTTTGTTTCTCCTCTTTGAAGTGTATTTGCATTTGAGCAAATGAGAATTTTTCTTTTAGTAACCTTTGAACAGTTTGAACAATATAACCTTTAGAAATGTGAAAATTGCTAGTTGACCAGACATTTGGTAGTGAAATATCTGATGGTTACAGGAACTATCTCATATTTTAAAAACTCTGTTGCTCCCTATAATTATTTCCATCTCTCTCTTTTCTTCTTTCTCTCTCTCTGCTTGAGCAGTAATTGCAACAGCTGCAAAATATCTTATCTTAGCCCTCTCACCCTGCTTCCCATTTGCACACTGGAGAATAAACCATTATGGTCTTTCTTCATCTGTTATTCAGAATCTATTTATTCAGCCATTTGTTCTTTTATAGGGGATTGGAATGATGAATTATGGATTGGAATGTTGAATAATGTGATGTGGGCATTGGGATGAAGACTATGCATGCAAATATAATTTAATATAACATAACATAATATAAAGATGTAATTTCCCTGCTTTTAATACCTACAGTATAGCAGCTGAATAGACAATTAATTTCAAGCTGTATTAATTGCTGATAAAGGTATATACAGAAGACTACAAGAAGGGAGGTCCCACTCACCTAGGGGACTCAAAAGAGGTATTAAACTGGGTCTGAAGGGAGGAGAAAACATTTTGTAAATGAAGAAGTGTGGCCAACACATTCCAGGTACAGGACAGCATATACAGAGGCCCGAGTTTCTGGAAGAACACTGCACATTTGGGGAATAGTGAAAGTGGAGATCTGTGAGTTAGGCTAGATGAGCGTACTGTGGTGGATTTTACATAATATACCAAGAACCTCAGGTTTGTTTTGTAGACTGCGAAGGACATATGAGGAATTTATATCAGAGTAGCAAATATCATTGTATCTTAGAAAAATCTCTCTGATTCCTACCATTTTTTTTCTGCTTCCATATATCTTGCGGGTAGTGGCTCCAATCAGTAGAATGAATTATCTTTTGAGGAGGATATTCTTACAAGTTCCTCCTCCCATTATAAGAAATAACTCAACTGACTGTTCTACTGAATGTATTCCATTGAGCTGACAGCATATAACACATAAGGAAATTTGCCCTTATGCTGCCAGGAAATTCCATTCACGTTACTGAGAAACAGAATTAAAGACCTAAGATTTGCAAGATCTTTATATAAACCAGTGTAATTGTTATGACACTACTGATCTCAGTTTGAGCTTGAAATTGGTTGTATCTAGATCCTCAACATTTTTTTTTTTTTTTTTTTTTTTTTTTTTTTTTTTTTTTTTTTTGGTGGAGGGTGGGGAGGGGTTTCCAGAAAAGACAGGAAATCCTGCTAGGCAAATTCTAAAAGAGCAAATTCTAAAAGTAGCATTGATATCATCAATATAACTATTTATTTTCTGAATTAGTTACAAAGATAGAACCCTCTTTTCAAAAATTTTTTTTAATTGGAAGAGAAAAAATTTATATACTGCTTATTAATTCTTGTTTCAGGGATATATGAAAGCTTTGAATGGATTTGTAAAATTAGGTCTTATAAACAGAGAAGCGTTTCCTGCCTTTAGACCTGAGGCCAACCCTCTCAGCTGGGTGAGTGACTCCGGAATTATGTGCTATCTGCTGCTCTTCAGAAATGCCTCTGAAATGATCAGGGGTGAACTCTGCTTTGGACCAACAAAAGAACCCATTTTTTAGCTTATATGCAGGAAGATAAATCCTAATTCCAAAGTTCCCTTTCCCTTCACTGTTACGGAAGAATAGAGAGGGTGTGGCGCTGACACATAGCTGGCCTGTTTCCTGTAGCAACTTGTACCATTTGACGGCTCCTTGAGCTGTGATAAGAGATGCATTTGTTCTCTGCATTAAGCTTTGGTCTCTTCCAGTTGTCTAAGAGGTGACCCAGTGATGGGAGTCACTTGGGCTTCCTGAAAGTGAGAATCCAGGAGAGTTAGTAGGGTATTACAGAACTGGATTCCTAACCTCCAAATTTTGTCAACACTCTCATTTGGCTTCTTATAACCATGAGTGATTTGAGTTTCAGTTATAGAACTTATGCTTCTGGCCGGGCACGGTGGCTCAAGCCTGTAATCCCAGCACTTTGGGAGGCTGAGGCGGGTGGATCACGAGGTCAAGAGATCGAGACCATCCTGGTCAACATGGTGAAACCCCGTCTCTACTAAAAATACAAAAATTAGCTGGGCATGGTGGCGTGTGCCTGTAGTCCCAGCTACTCGGGAGGCTGAGGCAGGAAAATCACCTGAACCCAGGAGGCGGAGGTTGCGGTGAGCCGAGATTGTGCCATTGCACTCCAGCCTGGGTAACAAGAGCGAAACTCCGTCTCAAAAAAAAAAAAAAAAAAAAAAAAAAAAAAAAAAAAAAAAAAGAAAAAAATAGAACTTATGCGTCTATCTCTTGTACCAAAATCTTAAGGCCTCAGAGATGGAATGAACTTTGGAGGCATGGGACTGAATGTGAAGTAGAGCTTCCACTAACTGCTCAGAATTAACTCCTTACCAGCTGGTCATTCAGCTTAAAGTAGTGTGCCCATATTCCAATAGAAATGCCAGAAATGTATCACAATGAGAAAAGGACCAATGTTGCTAATTCCATTCCATCTCAAAAAGGTTTTGGTATTCTTACTAGCTAGTTTCTTAAATATTCTTTCTAAAAATTTTATGGGTACATACTAGGTATATATATTCATGAGGGACATGAGATATTTTGAAATAGGCATGCAATGTGTAATAACCCCATCAGGGTAAATGAGGTTTCTACCACCTCAAGCATTCATCATTTCTTTGTGTTAGCCAGTTGCTTTTACATTCATTTTGTGTGTGTGTGTGTGTGTGTGTGTGTGTGTGTACATTTGTGAATCTAAGTGTTACCTTTCACAAATTTACTCGGATAGGAGTGAATAAATATCTGAGAGGGAGCCTGGGTTGAAGCAGCTGGCTTGGAAAAGTTGGTGCAGGCATTCTTAGGGATGGTCTTTTTTGTAAAGGACCAGATTGTAAATGCTTTAGAGTTTATGGGCCATATGGTCTCTGTCAGTTACCACTCAGTTCTCCCATGGACGATACATAAATCTATGAGCATGACTGCATTTCAATAAAATTTTATTCAATGAAACAGATAGTGAGACAAATTTGGTCTGTGAGCCAGTTTGTTGAGTCCTGATCTAGAGCATAGCATTTCCTTTGGGAGCCTAGAAAAAGTCTTGTTTTGAAAGTAGAAAAAACTGGTGGCTGTTTAAGTGTTCTTCCTTTGAGATTTTATTACCTGCAAGGTCTTTCTCATCTCTTGAACCTACAAAAGAACCTGAGTTGCTACTGGCAACCACTGCAGTAAGCCTTTTCCACTTTATCCTGGTCAAAATGGACTGCTGGCAGGGTAGGGGGAGAATGGGTTAAAAAAAAAAAAAGTGATAGGATATACAAAGGCAGGAAATATGCCGGTAAGAATTGCACCATCTGTGTTGTATTAAGTTGATCTTAGGACCCATTTTTATTGCTGAAATATTCCGGAATAGCATTCATTTAATAATTGTAGGTGTACAGATGTGTGTATATATGTGTATGTATTACAATTTCCTATTTTCAATTATTTTTAATTTTAAAATCTGAGGTGTATTTAAAATTCAGTGTTTTAGTAGGATAAATTTTCAGTTAATTAAAAAAAATTGATCGGGACTTAGAAATGTTGTTTTTATTTTTCTGACCAGAAAGAACTCCTCTGTGACCTAGTTGGGATTTCACCCTCCTCTGAACACGATGTGTTGAAGGATGCTGTTCTTAAGAAACTAGGAGGCGACAGTACCCAGCTGGAGGCTGCTGAATGGTAGGTGCCGACCACTCAACTTGGAGCAAACTATGTTGGATCAATGATTGTTAATTTCTACTCAAACAAAAGTTAAATATTTTACGTTTGTCTTTTATTAATTTGTTGCTCTAATGTGGGTAGAGAAATTACCATGTGCCATGTTCATGTGGGCGTAAAGAGTAGACAAAGACAGGTGCTCAATGGCAATTATAATTTGAGAAATACTTATTTGGAAACACTTGACCACTCAGTTCCCAAGCAAAGTGGGATATTTTTGCTTTCCTGTAGGAGAGTCTCTGAGTAGTCAGAGAATATTACTTTAAAACATTCTTTCATATGAATTTGTGGCATCCTGCTGGTATACTTAATGCTGGAGAACTAACCTATAACTTATAAAGAGCTGTGTAAGAACATGGGGTTACAATGCATCATCTCTGCCCTACTCCAGGAAGCAGTGGCTGGGTGAGTCTGGAGATGATTTTGAAGGTTAAAACATTGCTATTCTTATTGTAATTTTACATTTTAGGAGAATCTACAACTTGAGTTACTATCTTGTAATTCTGCCCTTTCAAGATTAAATTCAAGGAGCTCCCTTTTGCTTCTCAAATGAGAACATCTACAGGGCTTGAACTAATGCAGCCCTCTCTTGTGCTTTTCAGGTTGGGCTTACTTGGGGATGAACAAGTCCCTCAGGCAGAGTCCATTGTGGATGCCCTCTCCAAGCATTTGGTCATGAAGCTTTCCTATGGTAGGCCATGAAATGTTAGATAAATATACCTGAAGAAGAATCATAAGGTAGAGTCAGTGCAGATAATTGTACTGGAGGGTTGGTGCCAAGCAGCAGGAATGGAAAGAAAAAGGCAATTGGACTCTTTCTTCAGGGGGAGGAATTTGAGAATTATTAGGTAAAAATAAACTTCATTAATATGAGAAAGGAAAAACTAGTTTTACTTTTTGTTTTTAAAGCATTAGGCAAATGCCAAAGAAGCATTTTTGGAGCCTGGTAAAAGGCTTTTATAGCAGCGCTTTTGTGTCTGTAAAAAGGGTGCAGTGATACCAACCTGGATAAAGGAATGAGATCACAGTTCTAATTTCCTTGAGTTTTTCACTTTGACTTTGGGCTAAAAGCTGTGTAAATAATTGTTTAGTGATCAAATGTAAAAGGAGGGAAAACTTGTAAGACCAGAAGGGCAGGAGCAGAAGATGATTTACAAGATTTGAGTTGTAATGGTAGTGGCATTTTTACTTGTCTTTATTTGTTTTAAGGCCCCGAAGAAAAAGATATGATTGTGATGAGAGACAGCTTTGGAATCAGACATCCTTCTGGACATTTAGAAAATAAAACGATTGATCTTGTGGTTTATGGGGACATCAATGGCTTTTCAGCCATGGCTAAAACTGTGGGGTTACCCACTGCCATGGCAGCCAAAATGTTGCTTGATGGTAAGTCTGTTCATTTGAGGACCGAGTCTGTCTCCATATCACCCAAAGTCATTTGATGTGGGGACATCAAGTCGTTGCTCTTGAGCATAACACAGGCATTCACTGAAAGTGTGCCATCTTGCTGACTGCCTGGGAGGTCCCCTTGTGGTGAGTAAAGCTTGTGGCCTTTGGAGATAGACCTGATTTCCACCGTAGCTGAATTACAAGGTGGCTGAGTGATGGGCTGCAAGTTACTCAGCACTTCTAAGAGTTTCCTTTTTTTTAAAGTGGGTATTGCCATCCCTATTTCATAGAGCTGTCGTGACACTTAACTGATATAATACATAAAGCTGCTACCACATAGAGGGATCCCCAGGTAATGGTAACTTCCTTCCTTTCTTTCCTTGTTTTTTGTCATGTTGGGAGTGGTAACTCTAAAAAAAGATATTCACTCCAGATTCTCAAGAATGTACGTTAAGTTTTACTGTCTTTGTATCTCAGCATATTATTAATACTCAATGAATATTTTACATAAAGAAATACAAATTTCAATTCTCCGCTCGTACTAGAAGATCACATAGACATTCAATAAGCATTGCCTCTGTTTGGCCCTCGAGAAAGAGTGAAGGAAGTAGAAAATGTCAAAGCATATAAATGTGAAATGATGAGAAAACATGTATAATAGAATATCAGCTAATGTCAAATTAAATGACCAACTTAGTGATTGAGGAATGAGCGAAGAAGTAAGTGACAAAAGTTGGGGTTATTGTGGCCTCTAATGAGAGTGCCAGGTTCTGTGTTTCAACCATACTAACAGGTACCTGTGCCCAGTTCGTCAAACTTGTTACAACTCATTCTGTTGGTGTCTTGACTTTTCAAAAAAATGACATTTGCAAGTTAAGCCAACCAGTCAGATTTACTTTACTTCTTACTTTACTTGATTCTCTGATTGTCTTGGCAGCATTAGTGCAGGTAAGTGTACAAATTCTGACAGTATCCCTAGGTCCAGCTGTTCTTTCAATCTAAAATTGACTCCTTTTCCTTACAAAGTGTTGACTAAGTAATAACTTACTAAGGGACATTTTAAGCAGCTCCTTAAAAAAATGCCTAGGCCTCCAAGAATTCATTGACTCTGAGTTTGCTTCTAGGGTGATACCTTCTTTGTGGAGACTCTTGCTGGGAAAAATTAACCTCTGACATTACCTTTAAATGGTAATTACACATTTATTTTCTTCCAGGTGAAATTGGAGTCAAAGGCCTAATGGGGCCCTTTTCAAAGGAGATCTATGGACCAATACTGGAGCGAATTAAAGCAGAAGGCATTATATATACTACACAGAGTACAATTAAACCATAATTGGAAATTATATTTCACTGTTTTCTTCCCAGGCAATACAGCTCTGAAGAGGTCTGTGATAAACAGACTTGCCGATGTGCTGTTTTAAAATATAAACCATAATATGTTTTGGTTAAGTCAACACAATGTTGTTTTTGAACTATAAATCTTTATTTTAATATGGAAATATTTGAAACAGGAAAGGCCACCTACTACCAGAGAACTTTAATAATTCTACCCCGTATTTTACAAATACGTATGTGAAAGTGATGATTGTACTATTTGCTAATTTATTGTGCCACTTTTTTCTCATAAGAACACATTGTCCTATAATCAGCAGATGAAGTTTTACTCTTTTAGAACGAAAAAACTTCCTCATAAAGCTATATTTTTATATTTTTTAAATTCACCCAGTTAGCTTTAGATTACCTATGTGTCTTTGCCAAAATGCTATTTTATGCCCTTTTTGTAAAGTTACAATTTATTTAGTAAATGTAGTTCCTTATACTTTTCTCTTGAGTGCTTGGAAATGAGAATAGATAACACTGAATCACAGTTTACAAGATCACCTCATTAGGCACAGAAAAAGTGTTTAACAAAATACAACACCCTTTCACAATAATAAAAAAGCAAATCAAAACAAAACAAAATGAAACACCTCAATAAACTAGGAATAGAGGAAAACTTCCTCAACCTGATAAAGACCATCTGTGAAAAACCTACAGCTAGCATCATACGTAGTGGTGAAAGATTGGATTATTGTCCCCTGAGATCAGAAGACAAGGATGTCTGCGTTACCCATTTCAATTCAACTTGTACTGGATAGTCAAGAAGGGGCAGTTAGATAAGAAAATGAAACAAAAGACATCTAGATCGGAAAGGAAGAAGTGTTAAGTAAGTAGAGGTGGGAGATGATATGGTGATTTTATGCATATGAATCCAAAGGAAATCTATAGAAAATCCAAAGACATGATCTACAAAAACAAAACATTATTCATTAGAAATAATGCAAATTCACAGCAAAGTCACAGGATGCAGGATTAAATATACAGAAACTGGTTATCTTTTGATATACTATCAAGGATTAAATAAAAAATGATATTAAGAAAACAATTTAATTTTCAACAATGGCAAAGCTTGGTAGCTCGTGCCTGTAGTCCCAACCCTTTAGAAGTTTGAGGCAGAAAGGCTAGAGGCCAGGAGACCAGCCTGGGAAACAGTGAGGTCCTGTCTCTACAAAAACAAACAAAGAAACAAACATACAAATAAACAGCTGGCTGTGATGACATGCGTCTGTAGTCTCAGCTACTCAGGTGGCTGAGGTGAAAGGATGGCTCGAGCCCCAAAATTCTAGGCTGCAATGAGCTGTAACTGGATCACTGCAATCCAGCCTGGATGACAGAATTAGACCCTGACTTAAAAAAAAAAAAAAGGTCCAGAAATATTCCTTACATTTATGGTCAACTGACTTTCGAAAATGGTGCTAGGACAGTTCAGTGATATTCTTTTTCATTGAATGGTGCTTGGAAATGTTGATATCCATATGAAAAATAATGAAATTGGACTCCTACCTCATATTGCATATAAAAATTAACTCAAAGTTGACTTTAGATCTAAATGTAAGAGCTAATACTATAAATATCTAAGAAGAATACGTGGCATAAATTTTCCTGACTTTGAATTAGGCAATGATTTCTTAAATAAATGACACTAAAACCACAAGCAACAAAAGAAGAAAATAGGTAAATGTGACATCATCAAAATTAAAAACGTTTGTGTTTCCAAGGACCCTATCAAGAAAGCAAAAATACAACTCACAGAGATAAATTTTTTAAAATCATGTATTAGTTAATGGAGGAATTTATATTTAGACTATATAAAGAACTGTTCAACAACAGTTAAAGGCATATAATTCAATTTTTAAAAATCAAAAGATCTGAATTAACAGTTCTCCAAAGAATATATACAAAAGGCTAATAAGCACATGTAAAGATTTTCAGCATCCCACTTTCCATCAATGAAATGCAAATAAGATCTCCAATGAAATATTGCTTTATACTTACCAGAATAGTTACATAATTAAAGAGATAATATCAAGTGTTGGTGAGGATGCAGATAAATTGGAACCCTCGTACACTGTTGGTGGATTCTCAAGAAATATAAAAACAAATGTCTACACAAAAACTTGTGTAGAGATGTTCTTTGCAGAATTATTAATAATAACTCAAAATTGAAAGAGCCCTAATTTCCATCAACTAATAAATGAATAAACAAAATGTGACATATCCATTCAAGGAATATTATTCAGCAATAAACATGAGATGAAGTACTGATGTACACCACAACATAGACAAACCTTGAAAAGATGCCAAGTGAAGAATGCCAGCCTCGAAAGGCCACATATTATATGATTTCGCTTATATGAAATGTCCAGAACAGGCAAATATATATAGAGAGAAGGTAGATTAGTGGTTTGTTAGGATGAGGGGTTTGAGAGGAAAATGGAGTGACTGCTGATTAGTATGGGGTTTCTTTCTGGGGTGTTGTAAACGTTGTAGAATTGATTGTAGTAATGGTGGCACAACTCTGAATGTACTAACAACTATGAATTGTATACTTTGAATGTTTGAACTGTGTGGTATGTGGAATTTATCTCAAGTTGTTATAAAAGAATTATAAATACAATCTGTTTATTTGCTTCTTGGGGAAAAATCTCTTGCTTTTAGAGATACAAAGTAGCACCTGTTTGACCTTCAGAAATTGTGCTCATATCCTGGCATGTGAAATTAGTTCTGCCTTCGACAGAAGCAGGTACTATGTGTGAGGTATATGACAGTTGAGAAAACATCTCCTGCTATTTGAAAACAATCAAAATTGATTAAGGCCTGGTCCCACCTGTCACAGATAATATATGGAGATCAATAATCTATTAATAAGTAAAAACATTTTGTTGTGGATTTTTTTTTTCTTACCATTACATTCAATTCAACCCGATGGATAAGAAAATACAACTTGTGTAATATTGATTTCACACTCCAAAACGATGCCCAGATTAATTGGGAACCGATAAACTAGCACCTTGTGTAGAAAAGGGGACCTAGTTTAGTTCTCAGTGTAGTTAATTGGTTTGTGCTTTATAATGACAATGAGAATTAAAGGGCATTTGATTTGTAGAGCTGATCTAATGTTAGTGGTGGTAATAGAAAAGGCAATGTCAGTAAGCTTGAATACAGCTATATGTAATTAAACACTACATTATCCCTCAATAACAAATTTTCCTGCAGAACCTTTAATGATAAAGGTGGTGGTGATAGGGTTTGGGAATGAATGAGCAGGTTATGGTTACAGCTAGTGCTCGACTTAGGACTGCAGTCGGGACCGCGGAACGGTTGTAGCGCGATTTGGTCGTAAGTTGAGTAGGCTATATGTACAGTTGAAATGGTGCACGCGGAGATGGTAGTGCTGCCGGAAGCTGGTCTGCACTGTTGTACGCCCAGCTGGGCAACGTTTGCTCTGCCAGATGCGGAGCAGTCGTGGCTAGCGATTGTGGTCGTAAAGTCGAATGGCCGTAAGTTGCATAGGTCGTAAGTCGATCAATACCTGTATAAGCATATGAACATAGACCTTTTCCAGGGGTCCACAATTTTTTTGTGTGAAGGTCAGATATAAACATTTTAGGTTTTGCTGAATAAAGATATCACAGCTGCTCATTTCTGCATATATATTGTGAAAACAGCCAGAAAAGTACATAAACAAATGTGTATGGCTTTGTTTCGGTAAAACCTTATTTGTAAGAACAAGTGATAGGCAGACTTGACCCTTGAGCCAGTTTGTGGATCCCTGGTCTTACCATTCTGGCAGACTTAATGCTCACATCTTTCAGATCTTTCTGCCTCTTTTGCTCTTTTTTAGATAATACCAGTATTTGTGTTATCCATTTTTCCTTGTTCTAGATTAATGAGACATTAGATCATACTAGACACTGATCGGCTCTACAACATACTAGCTATTCTCTTCTTTATGAAATGAGGATAACAGTAACTCCCAAGATGATTATAGAAATTAATGAGATAGTTAAAGAGAAATGCTTGCCACTTAATAGATGTTAAAACACAAGTGGGTTGTTCTTCCCTTTTTTACAATACAGTTTTTGCCTGAAGTTTAAGTTAATGAGATTTTAACTTTGATTTTTTTTTCCAATTTATTGGATACCTTTGGAAGACTCCTCAAAGATCCATGCTGCTTAAACAAGTCATGGATTTATCTGATACATAGGGTGGTTGAAGAGGTGAAAAAAACCACAACAATGATTTGGCCATGCCTCTGATTTTACAGAACAGAAAATGTGCCTCATAAAGTTAAATGACTTGCCTGAGGTGACAAGACTTAATATTGAAATTTGATAATCATTTGGAGACACTCAAAATACTTAATAAAATTTGGGAGCACCCTGATTTTTAAAATATCTAGGATGGATAACTTAGGGCCACCACTAGCCCATATGGTGTCTTTTTGAAAATTAGAACAAGGCATTCCTTCTTTAAGACACTGCTACTGGTCAAAAAATTGTTACCACATGTACAACTTATTAGCACAAAACACTTTACCCTCTAATGGAAAATTGCCATTATAAATAGAAAAATATTCAATGTCTGTGATATGATTAGTTCACCCTTAGATGCAAGGCACAATTTGCACAGCTGTGCAAAGTAGATAATCGCATCATATATTTTGTATACCATTAGCTTTCTTTATAATGGCTCACATTCGCTGATTGTTTGCAGTGGAACTACACCTGCCAGATCTGAATTCCAGTGAAAGGAATCCAGTGAGGAAACCTGGATGTTCTGGAGTGATACTTGTTATACTGACAGCTAATCTAATAACCTCTTTTTTCCAATCTTGTTTTAGTCCTCATGCCCATACTTAATTTGCATTAATTAACAAGAATTACAAAACACAGTCCTAACTTGTTGAATTAGGAAGTTACATCCCCCCAATTTAAGTTGTCAGTGTAGTAAAATAGAAGGTTTCTAGTACCTTCGAGTTTATGTTAGTTGAAAATGTGTGCTACATCACCTGCTAACAAATTCATGAACCCTGGGAATCCCATGTCCAGCCTGAGAGCCTTGTGAAA